GAACATATCGATGAAACTATTGGCCATATATTTCGACCGAACCAATTTTTAGGAAAAACTGACATACTGGAGCAAAAAAAGAAATAGCAGCAGCCAACATATTTCGAGGCAACCAATGATCTTTATTTGAGCCCACAAATATTAAGGGACAACCAACGTATAGGACAACTTTTCTAAGAAGCAAATAATATTTCATGAAAACCAACATGTTTGAGACAAAATAAGAGTCTTGATTCTTTTATTAAAAAAAAAATAAAGATAAACATAGGAAAGTAAAATTAAACAAAAATGATGAGAAGTATTAATTGAAATAGTTAAACAAAAATTTAACAAGACGGGAATGAATGTAACAACAGAGAGATGATGCTTTTATATCAAAATGAAAAATAACAGTCTTTAAACTCTTAAAAACTTTGTAAATCAGAAAACAAACGAGTCAAAAGAATCAAAATTAAAAAGGAATGAAGGAAAATAATGAAATACCTATTAAATTAGACTACCACAAAACTAGTATTAAAGATACTTTAGATACAAAAACATCTAAAAGAGAAGCAACAAAGAAGCAATGAGATGATACCTAACCTGATTGCCATATGCCCCAACCTTCAGAGTTTGGTAATGAATGAATGAGCATTCGTCATCACCCAAAATAATATTTTCGTGGATGGTCTTCACAAAAAGTGAAGCTTTCTGGCTCCCAGCCCTATCTGCTACCTTAATGATCTCAACTCCAATGTTTTTATGTCACCCTCATCTAGTAGAATGTTTCCTACACGTTTAGTCAAGATTATGAATGAATTTTGCTTCCTAACTGAACATGTAATAAAAAAATGAATGTTGTTATGCAACTATTATTTACCTGAAATGTGGTTGTAGAAACTTTCAATAACAGAGACAACAACGCTATTGATGGAACCAACTGTTACCAGCAATAAGGATTGTTTTCTCTGGGCAGACTGCCCCAATGCCCTGTAGAGTAAAGAGAACAATCAACTAAATTTTACAGCAAAACTTGAAGAATATACCCTACCAGCTTCATATGCATGGGAAAGAAATCGACGAATATAACTTAAGTTGAGAGGTAGATTCAGCCAATAATCATTTATTCTTTTCTATTTTTAACGCATGCAAAGGCAAAGGCATATAAATAAACCGTTGAAATTAATTTTTTTAAACAAGATACGAACTTTTCATTATTAATGAGAAGGAACAAAATTGTAACAGAAAAACTTTTAAATTATTATTTTCTAATAATAAAATTATGTTTAATACATTTAATTAACTAGTTTTACTATTATAAAAAAGTTAACATATTTAGATAAAAAAACAAAACAAAACTAACATTATATGCTATGGAAAAAGAATGTTTGATAAGAGTTCGAAAAAAATTAAAACATGACAAAAAAATAAAATTTATAAACATTAGAACAGAAAATCTTAAAGTTAAAGTTGTATCAAATTGTTATTCTAAATATTTAGTTTCAAACAAGTGAAAAGTCATTAGTGATTTTTAAAATTAAATGAGTACCTATATCTTCCCTTCTTCCTTTTTCGCCGTATTCGAACACCGCTTTTATCCAAAAAGTGAAATCGATAGACGACAAGTACATTGCTCTCACCCATGGAGGATTTGCCATTCTTCCTTTTTCGCCGTATTGTGATAATTGACCAAAGTTACCTCAACACGTGTCTCTTTCTCTCTCTCTATCGGAGACGGATTGATTGTCTTCTCTTCTCGAACTCGACTAATAAGCCCTAAATTCACAGATTGCCAGGGCAAACCCATCTTCTGGATATTTGGCGGACGGGTTTAAATATAAATCGGATGAATTAGTTTCTTGACCGATAAAAGATAATTGAACAAACAGACCCGAGATACCTAACCTGAACAGGTAATCCGCAGGCTCCGATGTCTCTGGAAATTTACGGCGATGATTCAAATCAAAATTTAACCTGTACCGCAACAATGCGCCATTAGACCATAGGAAATCTGGACAATGAATGGCACTGGATTGCTCCGTGGATGCAAGAAGAGAAGGTCGTGGAATGTTTGGGTTCCCGCTATGGTAGTGTGACTGAGCCATGGTTATCTGGTATGAGAATCTCTTCCTTTATAGCCGCAGATGTGGTGGTCAAGATATATTTAGGGTTTCGAAGAAGGAGATATATTTAGGGTTCCGAAGAATGAGAGTTATTTAGGGCTTCGAAGAAGGAGAGAGATTTAGGGTTTCGAAGCAGGCGACCTGATGAACGGAGAGAGACGCGGGAACTGGAAGTCGATCTTTGGCGGGACTTGGGAGCGTCGTAATAAACTGTCGAAGAATACAAAGGCAAGAAAAGGTTTCGTGGTCAATACGAAGAGTCGAAGACTAACTAATTTATAAATGAAATAGATTAATTCAAATGAGTTTCAACGTTACGCTGACCTGGTCAAATTTGGGCTTTTTCCGTCCATGGCCCATTTGAGTCTGCAAGCCCAACCCAGACAAATAAATAAATGACAAACATTATAATGAAATTAAATTTTAAAAAAATTATTTAACTATTCTTTTTAATATAAATTTTCTTGTAACATCTTTTTTTAGTGAATGCAATTGTCATATGTTTGATCATGATTATGATTCTAGAGGTAACAAGGTGAATTGGTTTTTAATTCCTAAATTTAAATTAAATAACCAATAGCATTCATATTCTCATTATCTCATTTCCATTGATTTTCATTATAATTAATTGTTGCAAGGAAGGTAAACCTATATACAAATTTGTAGGGACAATTACATCAAAGTACAAAATTTCACAAATTATTGGACTTCATATCCTAACTTTTTTCGGAGCTAGTATAAGTTTTACTTTTTTTTAATATATTTTTACATTATTTGATTTTGATTCTGTTTTCTAAATGTCAAATTATCCGTTATATTAAAAATATATATTATGTACTTCAACTTTATACTAGTTTGAGTATAGTTGAGGATTGAGGTAACTTTCTCTTTATTTTAGAGAGATTCATATTATCCCCTTAAACACATTTTAATTTTATATACTTTAGATTTTCCAAATTATGATTTCATAAAACAAATAATAAAAATAAATGTAACTGGTTAAAATCATTCAAAAGCGAGTCAGCGTTAATAACTTATACGTAAATATTGTGAGTTCGATCCTCACCCCACATAGCGAGGAAAAAGAAAAAAACTTATACGCAATAAATAATCATTATTTATATTAAAGTTAGTTGGGATTAAAGACTCATAAATATTAATTATTTGTAGATTTTTAGATACAATCTTTATTTAGGACAAAATATACTCTTTTATAAATATATATATACAAAAAGTTTGAGTGGATTGTTTATTTAGTTTAATATGTCTTATAATATATACTTTTAAGAATGATTATTAAATGGTTCGCGAGTTGATTGACAGTTAATCAACTAACAATGTGCCCATTGTTGGCTGATTTTGAAGGGTTATTTTGCATCAAAATGAATACCTTTTGTTTATCGGCAAATGAAGCTGCTTATTATTCTTTTGGATTATTTTCTTTCATACTTCATTTTTTTTTTTAGAAAAAACGTGACTCCTTAAAATTAAGGAGAACCCTCTCCCTAACACTATCAAATATTTGACAACTAAGATAGATAAATGTAAAAATAAAAATAAAATAAATAGGAAAGAACGAAATTGATCAAATGAGACGTCTGTCATGTGAGATCTCTCCTTGTTTGGTTTAAGTTTAGTTGATGGATTGATTTTGAATGTTGTCATTTTAATTTATTTTTAGACTAATTTATTGTCTACATATATGAATAGATTACAATATTTGTACTGTTTTCAACATACAATCAAAGGATTTTTATTGTTTTTATATTATGTGTTAAAATTTTTAAAGTAAAAAAGCACACGGAGATAAAGCAAAGGTACATCTGATTCCTATAAGTTTAAAATCAAAGTAGATATTAAACTATTTATTTACTTTTGCTTTTTTCAAGAGCTTAAAATCAAAATAGATATTAAACAAATTGTTTACTTTATTATTTTTTAGGTTTAATTATTTAAATTTTATATTTTGGTTATTTTAATTTCAGCTTTCTTTTGTCTATTATGATTCCTATATTTTTAAAACGTCAATTTAATCATTGTACTTTTAAAAACGGATCACTGAAGGATCATGACACATTCTATACACAATTAAAATCCTTACAAAATTTATAGCAATACTTTAAACAAATTTACAAGTTTAATTGTTAAGGATCCTACATTCAAAAAATAAATGGGCCTAACAAGATTTATAAGACACATCGACTATATTTTTCATTACCAATTGATTTTAAGATAGAACTGTATAAATTTATGGTAGTAATTGTGAGTCCAAAAGAGCTACTTTTAAGATAAAAGAGAAACACATATCAAAAATAAGATATAATGTGAATAAAATAAATAAATAATATAGAGAGGGTCAAATGAGAAACCGTGTAAAATTCCATAATGGGTAAAAAAAATAGTAACAAAATTCAGAACCATTTCGTATTTACGCCTTGAATATGCAACCATTTTTTGACAGCAGGAGCATGCCGTCTCCATGCTCTCCCGCATGTGCATCCTCACTTTGACTACTCCCCCATTCTCCCAACGCCAACCCAAAATTAAATAATAAATAAATGCCATTTTTAAAAATATATCATTATCTTTTATCATTTTTCAAAATATGACAAAAGTAAATTTTAATTAGTCTCTACGTGATTGTATAAATCCATTTATACTATCTTCCTAAATTTTAAATTTCTTTTAATACAGTAATTAAGATGGAGCTTCGGACTATATCAAATTTTAATTACCGATGAATTAAGTTCATCTTATCGTAAATTTTAAATTCCTTTCGTGCTATTTTAAATTCTATTGAACAAGTAAAAAAAAAAAAGACACTTTTTAAAAATATTTATTATATACTCGCACCAACAAAGTAGAAACGCATAACCTTTCTCCCATTTCCATGGTGGCCGTGCCCTCTCTCTCTGATATCTCTCTCTGTTTTTTCAGTCATCGCCATGGGAAGAGCTCCTTGCTGTGATAAAGCTACTGTGAAGAGAGGGCCATGGTCTCCTCAAGAGGACGCCACTCTCAAAAACTACATCCACAAACATGGCACTGGTGGCAACTGGATTGCTCTGCCTCGTAAAGCTGGTTCACTTCTCTCTCTCGCTCTCGATCATATGATCTGATTATGGATATTTCAGTTCATATTTTTTTGTTTTTTCCATCTCTTTAGGCCTTAATCGCTGTGGCAAGAGTTGTCGTCTGAGGTGGCTGAATTATCTTCGACCAGACATCAAACATGGAAGTTTCACGGAGGAAGAAGATAGCGTTATTTGCACTCTCTATTCATCCATTGGTAGTAGGCAAGTTCGGCTTCCTATTAAAATTATTAAATTTACCAAAAATTTACCTTTAGGCTTTAATTATTAATTTATTGTTGAAACAACTTAATTTTGGTCTTTTATTTGATTGGAAGTTCAAAATTCACGAGAAAGGAGAAGAATTGTCTAGTGGAGTTTTTGTATAATTTAGAAAACTTAGTGGGTATAATTATATTTATATGTTAATTTCAAAATTCCCGAGTAAGTGGAAGCCGGTGGAGCAAGCTGGGACTGAATTAAATTTATGGTAACTATTATTCACATCAATTTTGTAGTTTAATGGTGATTCAGTGTTTTTTTCTGACTATTGATTTTTATTTTTATATATATAAAATATATATTTGTTGGTTTAAATCAGGTGGGCTGTAATTGCATCACAATTGCCTGGGAGAACCGATAATGATGTCAAGAACCACTGGAACACCAAGTTGAAGAAGAAGTTCAATTCAGTTTCCGAAACGCCAAATCCCACGGTTGCCGCCGCCGCCGCCGCCGCCGCCGACGGCCACCACAATGCCACTACCGACATCACATTTCCGGCCAACACGCCGCTGTTTCCCAACGCCAACATTCTGTTTTCCACTCCTCTGAATTTCGACCCACAAGAATTTCCCACGATGGACCGGTTTCCGACGACAGAGCAAACCCAGATCCCATTTTCCGGCAATGGCGGCGGCTCCGACGACGGCGAAATTCTACTAAGCTATGGGTTTTATCAGTACCCTTATGAAGATCATCTTGCGGAAGGATTATTTGACGTAAGTTATTATATGGGGTAAATTAAGGTTTAAGGAATAATTAATTAATTAATTAATTATAGTAATTGGAGTGGGGAATTTAGGACTTGGTCAAAAAAGAGAGAGAGAGAGGGGCATTTTGTGTTGGTAGAGTTTGTTTGAGTTTGATGATTCATTTGTGTAAGGAGATGAAGTCAGCCAAGACTTTGTTTGTTTCTGACTGGTCAGTGGTCACAAACCTCGTGTTTGTTTTATCCATTCCCACAACAAAGAAATTTCCTCTTTAAATTTGACTACTAGCTCAAAATGTCATGTTTCCCTTTTGAACTACTACAAAAAAAAAACGCTCCCCTTTTTCTCCACTATGATATTAATGTTATTAAGTGTGGCACCAAAGTCTTGTATATTTCGCTATAAATATATATATAACCATACATTCTAGAAGGGGAAACGGGACTTAACTTAAAATTTCACCATATTAGTTGATTCCGACTTGATTGCATGACAAGTGACAGATTATTTAATCGACAAAATGTATTTTTAGTCTTTATTGATTTAGTGGTAAATAAGGGTTCTCATGATGTGACCTAATGGTCAATAAGAATCAATGTAATAGCAAATCGTCAAAACGAACATAGCTCAACAGTAATTGGCATATACCTCAAACCAAAAGGTTGTGAGTTCGATCCCCATCCAACATGTTGTACAAAAAATAAATGTAAATTGAAAAGAACTGTGAGGGAATAAGTTCAAATCATGGTGGCCATCAACCCATAATTTAATATCCTACGAATTACGTAGACAATGTATCGTATCATTTTCCATCGTTGTAAATTATTAACTTGTTCYATGATTTTTTTTTTCTGGAGAGTGTTTTACATTAAAACTGCGTCTTTTTTAAAATTGTTTTTGTACTTTTTCTTTAGTCTACGTCAATGTGGAGGTGTGAACAGTTTGTTATGAGCCAACAATTTCAATACTTACTCAACAATATCTGAATTTAAAATTTAAAATTGATTGAGAGTCATTTTTCTCATTGGATTGGTAATTAGGAAATGGACACTATTTTAATTTTTTCAAGGAATTTTCCATCGCTTTTACACAAGGAAAGCAAAGATGTGTGATTAAATTGTCTGTTGTGGACAACTGTAGGTCCCACATGAAACAAGAAAAATGATAAAATAATGAAATAATGAAAACTTTGGTCTAAAAGTACTTTAATTGAACAAATATATACCACAATTGAAAAGCAGCTAGCTTTTCAACGTTGTGGCTTCATTACCGACTAACAACGGCATTATATACAATACAAACACATTGACTTTTGGGCCTAATGATATTGACCAAAACGATTAGACTTATGCTTATGCGCTAATTACGTAATTAGAGTTTACATTTTTTGTCTTAAAATTCAGTTTACACTGTTATATTTTATTTTGATATCTACCCATAATATTTACGAAAGTTATTTTATTTTAGTTTGTTAACGAAGATTCGTTTACAGTACTGTTACTTTATGAGATTTAAACCAATTGATTGGGCTGATTTATCTAATCACAATATTGGTTTTGATTAGGAAGATCATTGGTTACTTTTTGTTTGAGTTCAATAAATGAGGTGAAAATTTTTGAACACTTAACCTCTGGATCAAGATATATGACTTAACTATATTTATGTTGGCAAGTAACATAAAATGAAATTGTTGAACGTGAAGGTTGAACATATGGCATGTCATACTCGAAGGGTGACAACTAGTTGTAGGGACCACTAACTGAATGAGGGGAACAATTAAGGGAGCACGTGGCCTGGGCACCTGCAGTGTGGCACCAGAGATGCAGCGCATCATGCAACTAGCAATCTGTAGAGGGATAGGGTTGCAGGCAACGGTACGTCACATCCAGTAATATCTCCCAATTGTCTATCAGAATCTCGTACAACGATGAGCCATGCTATGCCACATACAAAACGTCATTTGTGGTCGGCCATGAATACCTATAAAAAGGGAGAACCACCACGACCATAAGATAAGTGAAAAATCAATCACAAATTTCATAAGATGCTCTCTACTATTTTGTTATCTGATTATTAATTTGATCGTCGAAAAATATTAGGTTGGACACTGTACTAATGTCGATAATCGTTATTACAGGCTAATTTATTCGACGACTACCCATTCTTAAGCATACACGAATCTCTCTAAATTTTAGAATCGATAGAAGTAATAACATTTTAAAAGTTTCACTTGACTGCATATCTATAAATATCTTCCCAACGCAAAAATTAAACATATATTACAGTCTAGTGAATTTTTTCAATTTAGTTTCTTACTATTGCGAACATTTAGATAGATAGGGGAAGAGAGAACATTTTCTAATTCAAATTTATCAAATGTTTATTTCTTTTCTTTTTTCCGAAACAGAAATTCATCAAATGTTGTACTATATAAGTTATATCGGTCAATTTCAGTATTCACAAAATTGAAAATACATCAGGATTAAGGTTTCTTTAAACGTAATAAAGTAATAATGATAATAATTGTACTTCTTAGTTAGAAAAATTAATAACTGTATTTTATCGGAGCGGATTGAGCGAACAAGTAAAGTAACTTTCCCGCCTTGCAGAATGCCGTACACTCCCCCCGCACTCCTCTGAGTCTTCTCGGACACTCTTAGTCTGGGTTTGGGAACGCTCTCGTCTACTACTTCTTCGACAAACAGCGAGGATCAATGGTAACGATTATCCTCAAACCCTAATTTACGAATTCTGTATCACCTTTAATTGCCGTATATTTCTTCTGATTAAGTCCGTTTGTTACTTATTTTTACACCCGTTCACGTGGAATAGTTGTGATTTTCTGTATACTCGAAAAATCGATGAATTGATGTATTAGATCGCGGTCTAGGAAAATATTCCGTCGCGCTTGAATTGTGTTAATTTCCGCTCATAATGTGCGAAAAACTTCCATCGAGTGTGGTCCTTTTCTAGTGTGTGTTGACAGATTCATTTTTCTTTACCCCATACCTTGGCGTGGAAGATTAGCGTTGGACAATTTTAGTTGCTCTGATGATTCTTAGTTTGAGCATTTAATGTGTAAAATCTGAGGTGTTATCTAAATGTGTTCTGTATGTTTGATAACGAGCATTTTGCCAGACGGATCCTTCATTATTAAGATGGATTTTTCCTAATAAAATTTAGGGATTTACTAGGTTTAATACGGATCACTCGTTTTAGCTAAAATGAGGGGTTACTACTCTTCGTCTGATGACTTCGACAAATATCAATTCTGGATACCGAGTTCGTAATCTAACATTTACGCAATTATTGGAATTTAATTTGAGAAACAGTCTAAGAAAAGAGGTCTTTCCCTGGAAGAGAAGCGTGAGAAGATGCTTCAGATATTTTATGATTCTCAAGACTTTTTCCTCGTGAGTACACTTGCATTTTTATTATTGAGTTTTGGAAGTCCTGCAATTTCATTTTCCATTCCTTTTTTATTTGAAGGTTTCATATTTTCTGGACACTATAAGAGGCTTCATTCTCATTTCAGCTTAAGGAGCTTGAAAAGTTGGGTCCCCGAAAAGGTGTGATTTCTCAGTCAGTGAAAGATGTTGTGCAAAGTTTAGTGGATGATGACCTTGTTTTTAAAGAGAAGATTGGGACTTCAGTGAGTAATAGTTTTGAGATGAAACTTTCAGTCATCCATTCCTTTGTTTCTCCTACTGGCACCATGACATTATTGTTTGCATATGTGTCACTATGCGTTGTGATTGTGATTTTCAATTTACTATATGTTTGTGTATGGTTTTGTAACTTCAGGTCTATTTTTGGAGTCTACCAAGTTGTGCTGGTAATCAGGTGAAGTCTACATTATTTGTTTTTGTTATTTGTTCTACTCATTTCAAAAGCTTGACTATCTATGATGTTCAAGCTCACTATAGTTAAATCATCTGAATGTTCATTGATTTTTGACTTCCAATATACATCATGGCTTTATCCTGAGCAGCTGCGGAATGTATATCGTAAACTTGAATCTGATCTCCAGACTGGTAAGAATAGACTGGAAGAACTTACCGAGCAGTGTGATGCATTAAAGAAGGGAAGAGAGGAATCTGTGAGTAGTTGCGTCTAAAGCGAATGGTAATTTAAATTTATGAAAATCCCATCTTACTTTGGTCAGGAATGCTTTCTTTCATGCCAGGAAGAACGAAAGGAAGCCCTTGCCGAATTAAAAGCCATTGAACTGAAGTATAACGAGCTAAAGGTTCTGCTTGCATTCTTGATTTTATTATTTTTTGAAGAAAAAAACCAATCACTATAATCTTTTCAGTTTTCACCCTAGTTTGACAATCTAGTCACTACCAGGTTGAGATGGTACAATATGCAGATAATGATCCAGCTGCCTTTGAAGCAATGAGTTAAGTTTTTTTAGCATCTTTTAGATTTCGACGACAGAAAAAGGGTATCAACTGCTTAGTTCTTGAAATAGCTGTGTGCTAAATTAGGAGATCTTATGGTTGTGAATTTGACAGAAAATGCAATTGAAGATGCTCACGCCGCAGCCAACCGATGGACAGGCATGCATTCTGCTCATAAGCTGCCAACTAATTTTCCATTCTTTCCATCATACTTGCCCACTTGTAATGTTATGTTAACTTTGGTTAAATGCATGCAGACAACATTTTCACTTTGCGACAATGGTGTTCAAACAACTTTCCACAGGCCAAAGAACAACTAGAGAACATGTACAAGGAGGTAAACCATATTTCTTTGGCAAAAATGCCGTCTGCTAGAATTAGAGATATGATAATATAGCACGCACGTCATTTCATCAAGTTCCTTGGTCTTCAAATTTTTTAAATCTTGCTTTCCATTATTTTGAAAGCAGGACAAGAAATTAATTTATGCTTCCCAAAAATGAGCACTCACACATCTCTCCCCTAGTAAAAAGAGAGAAAAAAAAAACAAAAGAAAAGCAAAGGTTTCAATGTCTTTGGTTAAGAGTTATCTGAGTTATCCATGAAATGCAGGTGGGCATAACGGATGATTTTGATTATTTGGAGTTGTCGCCAGTTCCTCTGAGTTCAGTTGGCGATTAAGTGGGCAGAAGCTTCATGCTCACATAACCGCATGCTTTATAATGTCAAAGTGATTCTAAGACAACTACTGTAGAACATGGGCGGCTTGTTACCTGTTCATCATTACTGTAAATAAGAAACGTATCAACTCTTGAATCAGTTTAGTCAACAGATGTTTCATAAAACTGCAGTTTGTTATTTGTTTGCTTCTCTTAGGCGCTATAAGCAGTGGACAAAATAAATGTGATATATGAATTGGAACGAATTGCTGTGTTCCGAGTCGGGCAGCAGAGGTTTAACAGAATTTCAAGAAATTTATGGAGGACAGGATGCACTTATTTTCAGATAACCAACTCAAACTTGACACATTGCATTTGAGTAATTGAGGCACTTACAAATTAACTCCATATTAGGCCAACGCGAAACCATAGTAGTGGTATATTAATTTACATGGTATACAGGACCTAAGATTGAATTCGGATTATTATCTGGTATTATCACAAAGAAACCTGTTCATCAGGTTTCGCTGAACTTAGCAAAAAATGTTCAAATCTTTGTTACAACCTCAGGCCAATTCTTCACATAGCCTCTCGCTTCCAATATTCATCAGGCAATGCGACCTGAAAAGTTCCATAAAAGTATCTTAGTCTTGACAGCTTTAGGTACAATGCGCAAAGTGTTTTCAAGCATCATACGATCTATAAACATTTCATAGGCAAATGACACTAACAAATGGAAAGAATTCATCACAAGATAAGCCCAAGCACCTGCTTGAAAACCATGAAGGATATCAACTCAAAGTGCCATCTCAGCCTGCAGAGCTGCCAGCTCATCTTCTTCAGCAGTTCGTTTCTGTGGAGCAGGTCGAGCAGGTTGTTTGCCCGCTGGGACAGGAATTGGGGCAGCAGGAGCAGTTGTTGCAGGTTGAAGAAGTTGCTCCTCCAACTCAGCACCTTCTAGCTCTTCAAGCTCTGCTTCCAGTTCATCCTGTGCGTACAAAGAGGTTTAGTGAATGAAAAAAACTTCACAAACTCGCAGGGCAAACGGAAAAAACACACTGAAAGTGAATAAAAACCTCATCAAAATCAGCTGAGGCACCAATTGGATTTGATAATGCTTCTTGGATCTGTTTCATGTTCTCAGTTTGTTCATTGATCTCGTCCATCGTCTTATCCACATCATCGATATTCCTGCAAAAGAAGTATTTCAACCAATCAGGTTGATATTTGTACAAAAAATGATTCTTAGTTCATTTCTGTAATCCTTATAAAGCACTAAACATGCAATATCGTAGATATTATGGAAAAATTCAGGTTTCATGCATCATTATGCTCCCCAGCACATTATTCACAAGATTCAGTCCTCTGGGTAGGAGAAGAGAACTGAAAAATATGAACGGATTGAAAACGGTCATAAAGAGCAAATCATGAAATTACACCCAAACAATGTGTTACTCACGTTGCTTTCTGCATTGCTTTCATTGCAGCTGCCCCGGTCCTCAATGCATCTACAGTCTCAGTTGTGGCTTTTGCACCTTCTAATAATATCATCTGCAACACGAATATTTATGACTCACAAAGTTAAATAAACACACAGCAAAGCAAATATGGATACGTTTTACAAGTCTGATATCAGATATGACATCAAAGATCACCTGATCATGGATCCGCAATTGGAAGTTGCCAAGCTGCTCTATCTGCTGTTCATATAGCCTCTTCCTCTTCAAACATTGTATAGCAGCTATAAAATAAAAATAGTTAATTTTGACGCAACATTGCCAACTATAGTTTGAATCTCACACCATAAAATAGCTGATGCTCAACTGAGCGAGATTAAAATTGCAAATGAAATGTGGGAAAGATCCAATGTCATAAATATCTCCTCCAAAACACACAAGTACTTGAAACAGAAGAAGTTAACGATGAGGATTCTAGAAATTGTGATGGGAGATGTGAGAAATGAAAATGAACAAGTATAAGCAAATTATTATCTTTCACCAACAGTGAAAATGAACCGCAACGCCAATTTGGGCATGTAACAAACACAACTAGCAAAGCCAAAAATCCAAATAGAAGCATAAGTTACTTCCTTCGACCTGGAACATGGATAGTTAAAACCTGACAGTAACCAAATAAGGTACTTCCTTTGACCTAGAAATCCCCCAACTTTATAGGCACAATTTTAAATGCTAAAATGCTAACTGTGGCTGAACTTGCTAACCAAATTAATAAGTTACTTCCTTTGAACCCACACTGTTTTAATTGCTATGCCACTCTTGACGTTAATTATCAACAGTTAGCAAGTTCAGTCGCATCATTCTATATAATAAACAAGTACTTTAACGCCAAAATGTTTTGCTCAATAGTAAACTGCTAGTACTTTCTTACAATCATACCCCGCTTGTTTTTTGCTCTGGTATAATCTTTGGCCTTCTCAACCTCTGTGGCCGCCTTTTTCAAAAGTACTTTCTCCTTCTTCTCCAGCATTTCCAGTGTCTGAAAAACACAGAGCATAAAAGAATTCATTTCAGCATAAAGAATTCATAATATCAAAGGACAGAAATTAGTGATGTTCACATCGCTCAAAAGCAAAAAATCGATCGCGTCACTAATTCTAAAAGATCTTTCACTCCACCTCTCGACCTAGCCAAATTAGTGGTTCAAAAAACACTCCAGAATCCATTCAAAGACAAAAGAGAAGCGGAATTCAACTGGAAAGATACTCAGCACGCCACGATACCTCGTTTAATTTATCAAGCGTCGCCAGAGCCGTAGACTCCTGCTTAGGTTTACCAAAAAGCTTATTGAACATGGTGGATTGTCTGCGAATTCGAACCCACCCCCGAACTTCTGCATCAATAGCAAGAAAATAATCACTCGTGTCTCGTCTGAGCAGAAATCAATTGTCGAAATTCTACCAGAATCAGGATTGAAAACGGACGGTCAATTACCAAACTAAAAATACAAAAATTTGATGAATACATGTGTGTACCTGAGAACTGAAGAGAGGAAATCCAAGAGCGATCGGTGTCGCAAAACAGGATTAAAGAACAAGGGAAGATCTGCAAGAGAGGTGAATTTGATTCGGGTTTTGCTTAGGCGTGTTGTTGTAGTGTGGAATGGGAGAAAGAGGAAGGTTCATTGCCTTTTCTTCACGGCGTTGACAGGGTCGTTGGATTCCACGTCGATCAGAGCTGATTGGTCCCACGAAACACAGCACAAACTACAGCTACATCCGATTTTGAGACGGTGAAAGTATGACTCCAGTTGCCGTCTCTAGTATTGGGCTTAGATTATTAGTGAAAATGGGCCGAGCAAGTCGCGAGCTTATCTTTAGATGGGCCGACCGAGTTAACGTTTAAGTATTGGGCTTGGCTGATGGATGAAGAGATGGGCCTACGAGTTGCCGTTTTCAATGTTGGGCTTAGCTGATTGATGAAGGGATGGTCGCTGGATAGAATAGATGGATTTTAAATTCCACAGTAATTTTTTTAAATTAATTTATAGAAGGGTGTTTGCTCTTTATTGTTTCTTGTTATTCTTATTTCATTTAAAATAATCTACGAGCAAACTAGTGAAGTAGACGTGGAAATACGGGTGGTGTGTTATTTAGAAGTAGTTGGATAACTCCAAAGTAAAGTTTATAATTTTGATACAACGACTATAGATTAACTATGGATTAAAAAGTTTAATACAAAATCAATTTTTGAGAAATAAAATACTTTTGTTTCACAAAATTATCTTAAACTTACTAGTTTTCATGCAAGTCAATATTTATGGCAAATTGTGGCTAATAAAAACATTAAATTGACGACCAAGTAATACATTTCAAAATTCATAAATTTCAATAATATCTGACTTTATTAATAAATTCCAAATTTGTGTCATTTAACAGGAAAAATAACTGGGTAAAAAATTTAATATTTATCTATATTTGAGATATAATTTAATGAAGGACAAAGTTTATGGTAGAAAGTATCATTTCTTAAAATAAAAATAAAAAAGTGATATACTTATTGTTAAGGTTTGATAACTTTTCATTTTTTTGTGCATCTTTTGTATTTTTTTTTAGTACATCTATTGTATTTACAGATTAATTAAATTAATAAAGTTCCATTTGTTTTCATAATTAGCATTAATTGGCAAATCAACAATTTGAAAAGCCGGATGGTCAAAGAGTTTGACCGGATTTTGGGAGTTTTATTAATTAAGTCTAATTTTACAGCTTGGATACCACGCCACTTCTTTTTCCTATAAAACGCATGGTTCGACGCTTTCTTCTTCTTCTAACGAAATCGACTCTCTTGAACTCAGTTCTTCTACAGATCTCAAAGTTTCTTCAGATGCTGCTTCGCCTCCATCTCTCGTCGTCGTCATCGCCTTCCAGTTCGAGGCTTCGGATTTTAGAAATGTTTCGATAAAACTCATCAACATAAATGCTTTCACTGCACTTGTCTTCTATCGATCGGCGGTGGAGATGAACGTAATCACACTACTTGCCGTCTTCATTTGCTTAAATTTGGTTTCTGGTGCAAATCGAAACCCTAACCCTAACTGTTTTCATAGTGGTTTCACGTTTCGTGCCATGCAACGCCGTCGTTGGGGAACTATCTACTCTGCAAGGGATGAATGAGGCGTAGGGAGAGGCATAAGGTTATGAAGCGTGGTCATATTCCGATTGTAGTGTTTTGATGGTAGTGTGTGTGAGCGTTCTTCTTTTCACGTTTATTATTGTGTTGATTCTTTCTGATGGTAGTGTTCTGATACCTCTCTCAAAATGTTGCTGCAGATGGCGACGTTTCTGCAAAACAATGGTGAAAGCAGTATTTGTTAGGAACCGTTAGCGGTAGCCGTCATATGCCGTTTGTTCTCAAGCCCTCGTTCTTTCTGGCTTGCAACTAAGCGCCATGTAGGTGACAATGATCTATTTGCACTTTCTTTTCAAAGTTTTGTTTTCTTTATTATATTTCCCTCTCATCAGGTTTTTTCAGTAGTTGCAGGCTGCCTTTAGTTCGGTTGGATGTTATTCGTTCCTCCGGTATTGTTTCTGTAAGACATCAGTTCTCATCCTTACCCTCTTCAACCAATGTGAGTCGAGTTACTCTTTAATCAATGTTATAATGTAATTTTAGTTGTCTGCATCTCTTCAAATACTGATGTTTTCTACTTGCTTTCGTTTATTTGTGTTGTGGAGGTTTCCTCGCAAATCACAGAATTTGAGGTGTTGGCTAAAAACAGATTTTTCTCAACGTTAAGAAAGTTTTAAGTTTCTACTTAAGACCATTACAAACTGAGCGTGGGCTGTAAGCCAAAGAAAAAAATGCAAAAGAAGATGAGAGAGAATAGCAAAATCCTGCTAGCTGCTTGAGTAAGTAAAGAAAACTGTAGTTCTTGCTAATTTATTTTCTTCATATGAATACGTGTAATGGGAAGATAATTTTAAATTGTCTGATGTTCTATCAGCTTGTTGGGGAATACATCTTGATTGGAAGTTTTCCAGAAAATGTCGACGAGAAAAAAAACTGGAACCTACAAAGTAAGTGTAATCTTTCAAACGTATATTCTTTCTACGAGATACGAGAATATGTTATATATAATGTTATCCTGGTATCAACCATGAGGTGTCATGATGATTAATTAAATGTTCTTAAAGAAAAGAAAAGAAACTCAAATATAAAACTTTTATAAATAGAATGACTTGATTTCCTTTTGAAGATTTTTAGTTATAAATTTTTAAAGATGAAAGAAAAAGTTACTGAATATTCGAGGTAGATTCTACTGAAAAGTTTTGAATGCCCAACTTTCAAGTTAAAAGTTAATACTATTTTGTGGAGTTTGTAACTAAATAGACTTGTGACCGACCAATAAACCAATAAGGTGAACTTATTATACTAAATTCTTTTTTGGTTTACTTTTGGAAATAAACAGAACAGGTGCCTAAGATTATATTTGAGCCTGAGATGTACTCAAGAGATGCATGCTAAAGAACTGGTTATGTTATTAGGCTATTTTGGTAAGTTGAATTTTGCACCTTGTTTCAAAGTTGGTGTATTAATGAAGTTATTAAAACTGATGTTTGCTTAGGATGTAATAAAATACCTTAGTTTTCTTTCAAGTCACTAAAGGTTGGTGATACGAGCTCTTGACTTTGTGAACTACTATGTTCTATTTGAGTCTATGCATATGTATTGTTTTCTTCAAAACATGGGTAGATTTACTTACTCAAATTGAGGAGAATTAAGTCATAAAAAACTCCTGGAAGACCATTTATTCTTTTGCCGAAATTAAATATTTGACTGCAAATCTGCTAACAATTGATCCGCAGGAGACCTAGTGCCCCAAGATGTAATGAACTTTAAGTGCAATTGACGCATGAAGAGAGGACCTGTAGTATAATTTGGATAATCTAGGCCATCTCCGACTCATACCTTAGCATATCCATGTAACTTTGGCAATGCAGGCTTCTCTGGTATCATGGTTTATGTACATAGAGTAGAATTTTGAATTTGGTTTTAAGGAACTAGGAACAGTTTTGTGGCGTGTTTCTTTTTTCATAATTTTCTTGAGAACTTCAATGATTTGGCCGTTGTGCACCCATCACATCTGGCTTATTCCTCTCCTTCTCTCCCTCGTTGCAGTCAGCTGTCTATTTCTGAACTCTTTGGCACAGTCAAAAGTATCCCCTTCATGTGGAGCTAGAAGACAAGGCTTTGCGTGCCCTCCCAAGAACTCCAGGTATCTACGTTTGCAAGTAAAATTGGTGATTGCCTTTCATTTTGTTTTGGACTTTTGAAGGTTAGACTTAGATTGTTTTACCAGCCAAATGTACTGCATCCATGTTAGAAGCATACCACTTGATGAAATTCTAGAGGCCTAGCCCAAGTAGGAGAATCTGCTTTTCTTGAGCATTATTCATCAATGACTATATTTCTCAATATGTCAATTTTCAAGCTTTACTTTTCCTATCCTTTACTTTTATTCCTTCCAATGAGCAATTTGTTCTTAAGTATGTTACTGCGAAAATAAGTATTTTGTCAACCATTATTTTGATGTTGATTCATTAATCTGCCTAATCTGCTGTCTTCCAATTGTATTCATAATTGACAGAAAATAATCTTGTTATAACTGTAAACGCTTAACTTGTTCTCTCCTAGGAGTTGGAAAAGTCTATGCTCTAAAACGTTTTGGTGTCATGGTGGAGGTTTATTGTTGCTTTTCATGCCTCCAATTTAGCTGAACGCGTAATATTTAATTTGTAAGGGAAAACGATAATGTTCGGTTGTTTCTGTGTGTAAGTTGCGCTCATATCTAGTTCAACTTTGTAGGCTATGGATGGAAATTTTTATGGAGCTCTTGGTGATGGCCAGGATGATTACTTAGATGAGACCGTAAATATGGTATTATTTATACTTCATGACAAAGGAGTTGTATCCTAGTAATTTTAATATGAATTGCCCATTCATTTAATGCTATACGTCCATGCCAGTGATGATCCAAAATCTTTCACGTCATTCCATTCATTTCATGGATCTCATTCCTCTTAGGTGATGCTCCTCAGCCTAATAATTGTCTAGCTATTTTAAATTTTTAATGTTCTATTTTAAGTTGTAAAGGGAAATTGAACGAGGAATATGATTCAGCTTCTATGTGTTATTGATAAAATTGAAGCTCTTGGTGAATAATGGTATGCCAATATTATTTCTTCTAGTGATATTTCAACTCTCTCCCTTCAAAATTCATTGTATGATATTCTATATTTTTTTTAACTCTCTGTTTATTCTTTTGTTTTCGAAGTACATATATAGGTAAATTTCAGTCGGTCTTTGCTTGATTTAGACACTCACCGGCAGTTGGACTAGATCAGATCAAATGATCTCACTTGGAGGAAAGAGAATTCGGGGTAAAAAAAATCTAACTAAACTCTATTTCACGAATACAATCCCGCTGTCACGTCATTTACTATTTTTCAAGTCCTTTCGTTGAATTTTGTTGCTTGGTCACCAGTTCTTGATCTATTATGCTGGTTGTAGTGAATTTAGATGGTCGAACATGGATATAACGTCCAATTTTCTATTCTAGCCTCCACTCAATCTTCACAAACACTTGCTTCTTTTACTTGCAATCTAAACATTATTATTTTATACCAAGACTTCATAAATCTTTTACTTAAACTGTAGGATTAATCCCCGCTCAGGATGTTGAATCCGCACCTTATTGAGTGTGCTAAATATCATTTAGACTATATTTATGTGCACACATTATTTTCCAAAATCCATCACATTAATGGATGTATGTGATGTATTAATATATACATATATATAATGTTGCTCATAATCTTGCATTGGTTTAGGAGACTAAGATAATCTCAATCTTCTTGTATCGTCTATTCACTTGAGCCCATTGATTCTCCCATTTTTGTGCAAAAATTTGGCAGGACGAAGGTTATTGCCCCTACATCTTCTCAATGGTGGTGAGCTTGTATGACCTCAATCTTGCAACTGCTTGGCTGCAGAATTATTCAATCAACCTATTTGGCATATATTATATTAACGTATACAGATTTGAAATAATGGCATCCATCTATGATCTATATAAGAATTTTTTATTTATTTTTATTTTTTGTTTATTTTTAAAGCAATCGTTGCTACTTAAACCCAATATTAACTAACTACTTTTTATTACAATTTTATAAACAAATAATGGACTCATCTTATAAAACTTCTTACAACTCTATTGAATTTTAACGTTCCTTGATTTTTTTGTTTCTTTGGTTTGCCGTTAACTTAAGCTTTTTCTCTCTTTTTCCCTTTATTTCTTTATTTTTACTATTCTTGATTTCTAGTTTTTGTTAAAATACAACATTAACTATCCAAAAATATAACACTAACTATCTAGAAGCTTCTTAGAATTTCTACACATTTCTCTTACGGGTAATAGCTAGTCATTCTAAACAAGATGGTAAATAAATATTTAAAGAAAAGAATCTAGAAATATCTTAGACATTTCCCTTAGGTTCCAAGGAATTCTAGAAAATTCCTATGGATAAGGATAGATTAATTAGATGTGTCTAGAATATGTAAGATCCAAAAAGGGCCTAGAAAAATCTATCAACTTGGGCTCCAAGGATCCATCTCCTATTTTGATAGATGTTTCCCGAAGAAGGTGAGAAAGTGTGAGAGTTTCAGTGTCCATCTTTCTACTTTCCTAATAAAAATATCTTTCTTCAAGTGGTTGTCTCTTTCCTTTTGTGCTAATTTAATCAACAAGTGGTATCTGTCCATCTTTCTACTTTCCTAATAAAAATATCTTTCTTCAAGTGGTTGTCTCTTTCTTTTTGTGCTAATTTAATCAACAAGTGGTATCTGTTGGAGAAATGAATGAATGGAGTCAAAACAAATACTAATCAAAAGGAAGGAATTGGGCCAAAATATAAATTAAAGCCCAATTTACCTCACTTGTCTTTAGGTTTTGTTTTATAACGAAACTTTTTTTTTGTTGCTAGGCGTCTACCTAAATTTTGGTCGTGGGAATTGAAGGTTTTGTGTTGGTGGACAAACGTGGCAATGGCAGCAAGTAGAGTTGGCAGAGAACAAAACGAGAACTTGATCTATAATGCGTTGTCAGCAGCCTATTCTCGTGAGGTTTTTCATTATGTATTCCTAAATAGCTATCGTTGTAGTGCTTAGAAGCTATGTGATCATTGTTGTGGCACCTAGAGAGAGCTTTGTAGAGCGTTTGTGAGACCCATTGTATTTATCCCAAAATTATAGTAAAATCCGTTGTTGCGATAGACAGGACGTAGTCCATAATTGGGGTGAACCAGTATAAATTGGTTGTGTCGTTTTCTGTGCTTCCCTAGTATGACTTAGTTTTCACTAAAGAACTGTGGAATGGTAAAATATTATTGAAACCATTTTTTACAAACGAACATGAAAAGAAAATGGAAGAAAATCGTTCTTAAATATATGCATATTCTGTTGGTGGTATAACTATAGTGCATTTATTTTTATTAGTTATATGATTATATATATTAGTACCGATTTTACTTTATTTACCAGGCTTATTCATGTCCATAATTCATTCTAATTATTTTTAATTATTCTTGAAGAGTCGGATTTTATAAACAAATTATTCAGTATTTTTTTTAATAATATTTGATACTTTACTTTTAATTTATTATTAACTTATAACATTAATGTTTGACATGGAATCATGTAATGACTTAAAATTTTAATTGTTTTTTAACCGATTACTTTTTTTAGTACAATAGGTGGAGGTTAGAATTCAAACCAACAACCTTTTGATTGAGTTATATATGTCTTACCTAATTGAGCTATATTTAGGCTGAATGTCTTTACTGGAACTTTCATGCATTTCATTTATTCTTAAAATTTTCTTCTTTTTGTATAATGGTGTAATTAATTAAACCGGAAATTAATTTTTCCCCTTTTCTAAATAAATTAATTTGTTATTCTTCGATAGTGAAATTTGTGTAAATATGCGGTTCATATGTGTCGATGAAATTAACTCACTTTTGCCTCTTTTTTTTTTTAATTATTCTTTTAATCTCAATATTAATTAAATCTTGGCATATATGTCTAGTTCTACTCTAATCTCTCTTCCATTTGCACCTCTAGTGACTAATCTATTCTTTGTAGCACTGGACAAATTATGTCACATTTTAAATTATTGATTTTATATTTATCTAAAAAAATTTTGGTTGAGTTTTTCGTTGATATTTGGATGGGAAAAGCCGTGACTACTCACCAACCAACTTTATGAACAATCGTTGGGAAAAGTTCATTCACTACAACACCGTACTTTTTTTTTTTTTTTGAATAAAGACCATAACAAAAGAAAACCCAAACACTCCGCAGCAAGCCGTTGCGAAACCTCCAGCGGCCATTCCTCGATGCAGAACACGAATTCTTGATTCTGTAAAGCTCTTCGTGCTAAAATGTGAGCGACGTCATTTCCATCTCTCTTTGTGAACCTGTAAGTAGCATGCAAACTTCCCTGAAAAAGAAAGAATCTGACAAATTAAAGACACTCAAAGAATGGGTCTCTAACTGAACCGGATAAATCCCAGCATCCATCGCCAAACGGAGCCCTTCCAACACAGCGAAAGCGAAAGCCTCTGCTTCATTCACAGATGCAATAATACCCAAGCCTGCTGAAAGTTCATTTGGGGAAAACGACGCATCTGTTTTGACTTTGAAGGTACCTTCTACTGGGGTTGCCAATTTGGAGAATTTATTTGCTGATTTCTTAGCCTGACATATTGTGAACTGTTGACATTTTAGGAATTATTGCTTGCATGATCTAAATCTGGTGTAGGAAGGTTGGCTGTTCTGTATGCAGAAATATATGAAACCACCCATTCTGCTAGCTCCCGGTTCAACTTGCTATCAGTGTTGAACACTCTTGCATTTCTCTGATTCCAAACCGCCCCACAAAAAGACCACCCATTCTTCAAAATCTGCCCAACTGAGCAAGTCTCTGTGATGCATCAAGTTATATAAAATATTAATCGAAATTAAAAATAAAATATCGATAATAATTTTTAGAACAAAACGAGTTTAGAAAGAAGCAACTCGACTGCCTTCACTTATTGGCGTTTCGACAGCCCACTAATATTTATTAAATGTTTTGTTCTTTCCAGCAAACAAAACAAAAGGTCTCTTTGGTTGTAAACTCGGATTTTGTTTTTTGTTTTCAGATCCATGGATCCAGCGAATACGAGTTTGAGAGGATTTTAGATATTTATTTTTTAAAACTGTTTTCGGATTCTGTAATTCAAACAATAGAAATTCTGAAAACGATTGTTTTCAGATTTAGAATTTGAAATTTTGAAGATGCAGAATTATATTAAAAATGATAAAAATTTTGATAAATATATTACTTTCATATTATAAACTTTTGTTAAAATAAAATATAATGTTTTCTAAATTATATAACCTTGTAAAATAATAATTATACAAAATTCATAAAAAAAATTTTAATAAATTAATTAATATAAGTTTAGATTAAACTAAAATTTAGTTTGCAAACTACTCAAGTTTACAAATATATTACTAAACAATTTTTTAAATTGAGATTCAATTACCAAATCTGCTAGCACACATCAACAAATATATTACTAAACAAATATATTACTAAACACATATTGAACAAATTATATCCAAGAATACAATTTTAATTTTTATAATTTCTGTTTTCTGACCATACGCAGCACACCTAAGTTATCCCAAAAAAAAAAAAGAACGAAGAAATTTTAATCTTTTATTCAAACGTCTGGAACAGAGGGTCTTCTAATTTATTCTTTATATAATTTTAAATTACCAAACGCACTTCATTATTTATTTATTCCATTATTTTTTAAGAAACCAAATAATGTTTATGTTTTAAAGTTATAATTATAATTACTTGATGAAGATGTTCCTCAACCGACAATTAAATTTTTAAACAGTGAAAATGTGAAAATGTAGGCCAGAACTACCTTCCCAAATCAGCTAACATATAAAACAAAAGCAAACACGGGTCTAGAAACACACCTAAATAGTTCAGCAGTAATTTACATATACTGTCAGGGAGAATTCGAATTTACATAGACTGCCACGAATTCTTCCAACATGTTTGTACTTAAAAAAAACCACACCTAAACAAGAATTTCTAAACTAAGATTGACTGTGCTCAAGTTTCGCAATATATTAATTCTGTCGCAGATTATTTTTCCAACCACTGAAAAACCATGTCCCTCATTGCTCTCTGATATCTCTATCATTAGATTTATCAAATAAAAGTCAAAGATGGACAGAAAAATCAAACATCTACAGCTGGCCCACCATCTCAATTAAAAAGTCATTAGCCAAAACCAAACCCACTAATACGGCACCTTACCTATTGTAAAAAAAATAATCACACTACTAAGATGACATTACCTTAAATTTTTAAATAATAAAATCCAATGTCAAATATATTACCAAACTTCATTTCTTAAGTGCTTAAAACAATTTTGAAAGCATTACAAGTCCACAGTCTTATCTCCTCAGATATTTTACACATTTCCACCAAAATTTAAGAGGCTACAATAAAGGTCCACATAAAGAACTACCTCAATTTTGTCCCATATTTTAATTCCCCTTTTCCACCACACCTCAATCCAAGTTAGAAGCCAACTTTATAAGTTCTTCAAATCTTATTCCTGCAGGACCGACTTAAAAAAGTTTTGTCCAAATCAAATACTTGAGAGAAAAGCAACAAAAGATAATCATATTTCTAATATGTTCATGAATACTCAACCCAAAAGGATATGGTCTAACAAGATTAGTCAGCAAACTGCACAGTTCACTCAATCAAAACAATATTGAAGTCAATATCCCTATCAGCACACTCAGTGTGCATCAATCAATAAAAATCTGCTGCCCATAATCTTTGGTCAACAATTTAAATCTAAGTTCATCCATATGATTGCATTAGAAACAAGATTAACTTACAATATAATCACAATGATCAAAGTAGAGAACTATTAGAAGCCATGATCCAGAGGATCTACAGTCACTAAATTACCTATACATCAAGTCAGACGGATTTCTCTTCYCCTCCATCAAAATCTAGTTTCTAAATTTTTTTCCCAACTCAAAATCTAACAGCCATATGTACAGATATTTAAGGCTTACACAACTAAAAATTCAATCCTATCTCTTTCAGGTTTAGCTGCCTCCCATAGTGTATTTACACATGAAACAAAAGGCATGGCTTAAGCTAATTTTTTTTCCTTAAAATTAGAATTGAATGATGATTAGAGAAAACCCATTTGAACCAACCAAAAGTCTAATTTGCAGACTCACTTCACGAGCTCTGAGACCCACTCAACATCCGGTGCGCAGACTGAAGGACTTGAATCAACCAAGTCCAGAGAATTTTCCTTGCTCAGCTTCTCCAGCATCTTCGCTCTAAGCTCCCTTCCTGATTCGACTCGCTCCATCGCCGGTTCCTCCTCAAATCCATGGTCCAAGAAGTCTAGAAGCCCAATTCCATGACCAGTCGGAGCCCGAGTTGGTGTTGTTGGAAGGCTACAAAATCCGGGTCGGATTCGAGAATGGTAACTGGGAGATCCAACTTGGGCATTCCATGAGGAGGGCAGAGACTTGACCTTGCTCAGATGCAAGTTCCGGAGCGATGCGACCATTTCATTGATGTTGCTCGAGCCAAGAGAGCGGCCGAGCGACCTAGTCATCGGCGACAACGGCGGCGAGTCCACTGGAGTCGCCGATGGTGAAACAGACACCGGAGAAGACAAAAACGGCAGCGATTTAGCACAGGATCCATCCAAAGACTGCCGCAGAGGAGATTCATCATACGAATCGGGCGAGTTCGCGCTTCTCGGGCTCTGCTGAGGCAAAACCCTAAGTTGCTCAGGAGTGTGAGCGAAGAAACAGACCCTCCTTCTGCAGTTGGTCCCGTCCTTACAGGGCTGAGTCCGATAACGAGCAGGATGGAGCCAGCACTCAAACACACCATGCGCAAACTCGCACGAATCCCCCTTCTTACAGCTTCCTTTTCTGAAGTCAGGGCACGCCGTACCAGAGTAATTATACTTCCTCGGATCTCTCCGGCGAGCCTTCTCGCCGGGATGAGCGTACGGACACTCCGTCCAATCATGAGACCTCCCACGCGTGCACTTCCTCACCTTGAACTCGAATATACGAAAATGATCGCAAGAGTAAGCATCCACCGGAACATCCGATTCCCGAGCCAACATCTCGGAATCGGATTCAATCTCCGACTCGTTCGCCGGCGGCAGATAACGCTGTAGCGCCGCTAGGGCTTCCTGCAGATAATAGGGAGAATAGTCGCCGCCTCCATTGACATTGCCATCGGGACTCACCGAGATTCCGCTCAGAGGGAAAGGAAACCGCGTCTCGTTCGCAGGTTCCTCCGGTATCATCAACGGAGTTATGTGGACCACCGCCGCAGGGCGGTGGCGTTCGCCGAGCATCATTTCGTCAGCCGAAGAAGACGTTGGCGGTTTCGGTTGCAGACAAACACGCCTTGCCTAAACCACCGCCATACCCCAAGGCGTTTATAAACTACTTGGGGAGCAAACCTTCAACCAGGGTTGGGTTAACCCAACCATGGTTAGGTTAAATTAACTTAACTTCGTTCCAATTTTTACGCCTCAGTTAAAAAAAAAATTAAATGGCGACGGAGACGGGGATTCTCTGGCTACCGTCAGATCAAAAACAGCGGTTCCAGAGGCTTCCACGACCCAGATATTCCGTAACCTCAACCACCACGTGGCATGATCTCGTACCACTGTTACTCATCATACGATCACCGCGCTGTCTGATGAATTTCCCATTTCACATAATAAATAACACCATTTATATCCACCTTACGTAACCATTGGAAAATAAAAACAACTCTTTACTGCCTCCCAGAAATAAATAAATACAGCTGACCGATCGACATATCGGGCGATCATTTACATTTTAGTAAGTAAGCCGTATTGTCAAATAAGTAACCTTGTCGTTTTGGAAGAAAACGACAGTAAAAAGTACAGTAAAATCATAATAAATAATTGGGAAACAGAACTTCGTGACTTGTATCAATTTGAACCGTAAAGTTTTAATTGTTACGTAATTGCAACTATTCACGAAAGTACAGTAATAGTTTTTTTTTTTTTTAAATGAACAAGATATTTTACCCTGGCAAAGTATAATAATATGGTTAAATGGATTGAACAAGAAAAATCAAGTCTAAAACAAAATGTAAAACTTAGGTCGTTACTAATAACTAATAAATGTATATTTTCTGACTTGCCACAATTAAAAAGATTTGAGAACTATTTATTCTTCAATTTTCTATAAATCATCTTTTTTAGTTGCCATCTTTTTAAATGGGACAAGTATAATATGTTGTAAATATTTGATAAGTATCTTATCTTTTCAACGTGGAATATTTCAGATTGTAACTATTTCGATTAATCAATCTCAATCGAATTCCTTTTTTAATCAAATATTCTGTTTGAATTTATTCGTACTCCGATACTATATTTAGATTCATGAAATTACATCTCAAAATTTATTAACGGATGAAAGCAATGGACGGAAAAGAGTGGGAATAAAGAAAGGCTAAGAGGATGAGATGTTGGTAGTGATGGAGCAGGGACACATGGCGGCCGCAAGGGAGGGGGTGGTTGCCCTTTATTGCGGCACGTAAGTGCTTTGGCCCATGCCCATCCCTGCCCCACAACAACTGTCCTCTCTCTCACTATTTCCACTACATTCTGCACCATCTTCTATTTACCACTCCATTTACGCAAAACTTTTTTTGTTTTTAATGTTGTATCATTCGATTTTTATTTTATTTTTATTTGATTAGATGGATATTTTAGCTTGTTGAAATATAATGGAGTAGCAAAATATAACTGTAGTCGTTAAAATTAGACGGTGGTTGATGTAGAAATTTAACCTCCTCAGGTTTCGTCAAATTCGTATCAATCTTCAACAATGAAAGGATCGAAACCTGCAAAACATAATAGTATTGACACACAGACTCTCATACTAATTAAATCAAAATCGAAATAATTGAATATAAAGTGCAGGTGTTGTGAGCATACGTTTATGATTTAATTTACTCTCCTACTTATAGAAGTTGAATCTTAATCCATTTATATGAGTTAATCTTATTCTTTTAGGATTTACATAAGTTAAATCCTAATGCACTAAAAGATCTAGACGAAGTGGGTCTCATGCTTGCTTCAGGTCCGTTCGTTTCATTGCGGCCTTAAGGTCGAATTGAGAGTTGAAATAGGATGGCTCGGGTCGTCAGATACCGACCTCCTTTCGTGGTTCGTGCCCATTTCTTAGTTTTCTTTTGATCTCCTATCGTCTAGCTGTAAGTCACCCTTATTTTCCTACAATAATAGTATATTTTTAGTTCATAAGGTTAAGTGAAATATAATTTCACACGGACTATATCTTAATATTTATATTATATTTGATTTGAGCATAATCTAGTAGTTAAAGATATTTTTCTGCTTTTTATTTCGTGGTAATGTTTTAAAGAGGAAAGACAAATTACAGTCATGCAAAAATCGATTCTCTTGAAAAAAAGGTATGTACATGACCAAACTAAATTAGCTGTTCAGATCAAATCAAACTCATTAAAATTTTATTCGATTTGATTTTCTTTTTCTCTCTATGTCCAAATCAAACCAGTTTTTCCCCTTTTTTCCATTATCCCTTTAAGTAGCAAACGGTTCATCATTGGTCAAGATAATAAAAGTGGAAAATGAATACCAAACAAAAATAAATCAACAAATAAATTTATTTCCTTAAGACACTTACCTTGAAGGATTATAATAAATTTAATTATTTATTTATGAAATCTAACCTTTGGAGATTTTCCAAATTTGTATCAATTTTCAAGAATAAAAAAATTCAACAACTAGTTAGGTTATACACGAGTATGGTTCTAGCCATATACACCATGCTTGAATCAGAACGGAGTTTAATGCATGTGAATCATAACAAATAGGTACATATTTTAATGGTGAGGTTTCTCCCTTTATTCAGAGATATGAGAACTCTCGGGTTGACGTGATATCTTATATTCTCAAATATAGCTTAGGTTTTGGTGATAGTATCATCGCAGGTCGTATTATTGGACTTATCAGAGAAGTACAAAAATCAGACACGGATGCTAGCAGGTCGACTACCAAGCTCGATCGGCTATGACCTGATCAGCCAAGACTTGATCAATCGAGAACGGGATGACCATAATTTTATTGGGCTTTAAGTTTGATTGTGCCTTGAACTTGATCATACCTTAGACCTGATTAGACCATAGACGTATGATATCATTTGCCTGTCAAATCTAGCTTCATCCTCCCCATAATAATTTATATTCTACCAAAATGGGGCAATTATTATAGAACCCGCTTATTTGTGGTAAGAGGATGAAATGACATAGACATTAACAAAATAATAAATAACAATAGCTAAACAGTATTAAATAATAAATTTGGTAACAATTTATTTCTCAAATTTTAGTAGTTAATAATTTACTCTCTATAATTTAAATTAATTTGTAACAATTTAGTTTCAAATTAAGGGTAATCACCAAAATTAAGCGTCAATTTATCTTATATTATAAAGTGGCACTTAAAATGATTTTTATTCTCAATGTATCCTGCGGTGGTGAGGATTTTGAGCTATCCAAGAGAAATTTTAATTAAAACCAGCTATTACTATTTTCTACTTCTATGGGTTAAATGTAAATAAACCATACTATAAATAAAAATAGACTAAATCCATCGGATAATTTATAATTTTCCGTTTTTTTTTCTCTTCTTTCAATTTTAGTATTACAAATTCTAGATTAAGTTATTTTGTAAAATTGAGACGCTCATCCAATTATTATTTAGTAACACAATAAGAAATGTAGATATACAACTTGAACCTGCTATTTTTTTTAAAGTAACTTATCTGACTTTTTATATTAACTAATTATAAATGTTTTCTAAGAATATCTTTTGAAATAATTTAAAAGATGATGAGTATAATTGAAAGATAAAGACAATTTAAAAATAAATATCCCAATATTTTCCATAATTTAGCATTCTAGAAACCAAGACAAGGAACCTTCCATTCTTCAGCCACTTCAGTATTTTGTTTAGGGATAATTGTTTATAAAATCAAATTTAATTAGACATGGAGCACAAAAAAATACAAATTATTTCATTGAAATTCTAAACTGATCACTTTAGTGTGTAGTGGATTTGGTCAAATACAATGTCAGAGAGCATAGTATTAAGCAATTTTGATGCATGATGACAAATAATTATTCTTAAGGTTAAAAAAGAAACTTCAAGTAAAAGCAATCCTTTTTTTTTTTTTTGCAAAGGGAAAAAAACGCAAGAATTCTGTTCGTTCGTAAATGGCAAAGCATGGCTGCTTGACCATGGGACAGGGGTTGTGGGGCCCACTGCGATGTAATAATATTTTCCTATACGACATGCTCAATAACAGTGGACCATGAATTATATGACCATCAACGTGGCGTGCTTCTTGCAACGCTCATGAATTTCCTGTATTATTATTATTAAATATTATACATTCAATTCCAACATAATTCAGTAAATAAATTACTATTTTAAAAATGGGTGGTTCGATATTATGAAACTTAAAAAACTATTAAATACTAGACCTTCTTCTTTTTTCTTTTCTTTTTATTTTTATTTCTTTCAGATACTCATTTCATGCGGTAACTTTTTAATGGTATTCGTGGCACTGTTCTGTGAAAGTTTCACCAATATAGTTAAGGCCTAGGGTTCGGTCTTAAAGTATATTTATATATTTTACTAAAATTTCAAATCAAAACGAAAATTAAATTAAAAAAAACGGCTGACGGCAACACCTCCAAAATATAACTGTATAACTTGATCAGTAAGTTAAGCTAAGTTAATGTGGATTTTGACTATAAATTCCATCTAAGCTAAACAATATTTTCTTATTGTTGATTGGGCAGCATGAATCATCCTATAATTATTAACTATTTTGTTTTTTTTATTTTTTAATTAAATTAAAAAAATACATATTTTTATTTTATTTTGTCACATCTAGCTTTAGCTTTTTAATCAATAGGCTATCTCCAATTACTAACGGCGGGTTTAAGCCTCTAAAATTTAAATAGTATAAAAAAAAACGAGTTAAGATTTACAATTTTTTTTTTCTTTTCTATTTCCTGATAACTAAGATTAAAAGTAAAAACATATATTCTATTAAAAAGAGCAATTGGGTTAATTACCGCAGGGGTACCATTTTTCGAGACAATGTAACATATTTTAATGTAAAAAACTATATATATGTATATTTAATTTTCCAAAAAAGTGAGTCTACATTCTACAGCAAACCAAACGTCGATTATGAGAATATAATAGGATGACGTGGCATGTCACGTGCACAGTGGGCGAACAGCGGGATTAAGAAGGTGACACATGGCGCAAATCCTCAGTAATGCCGACAAAACAGAACCCCCATAATCAAACGAGACGACGGCAAGGAAAAAAAAGAAAAAAGAAATCCTCGTCCGTACACGTGTCGAGTTCACGCGCAAGATAAATTATTCTGCGGTAAACTTGATCCACGCGTCGGATAGGGCCTGTTTTGACCGTAAACGTGTCCTTATCAAACTGAGAGCTAAGCGACAGCGAGGCCCTACGCCCGAGTTCGCCCCCCAAACGTGGCCTTATCTGGACACTCCTTCGCCCTCGAGATTGCCGTGAATACACTCATCTTTTTAACTTATTATCAACAATAACAATCTATACAAAAGTATTAATAATAATAATAATAATAATAATAAAACAAATATTAAATATCTTTCTAAATATATCGTATTAATTGATATTTCTATAATATTGTAAAAAACGATAAAATATAAAAATAAAACAACAAAATTTAACTAATATTAATATTAATTATTTAAAATTTATTTAAAAATAATAAAACGATAATTTATTTATTTAAATATTTTTTTCAAATTTTTTATTTTTATAATTTTTTTAAAAATATCCGTTGACATTTTTATTTTTTTGATATTTTGATTTTTATGGAAACTATTAATCAGATCATTTAAGTTTATTGGACAATAATTTCAGTCTTTTAATTTAAAATTATTCTTACGATAATTTTTAAAGATCTTTAAATACAGTCATTATATTATTGATATAGTTTATTAATTACAGTGACTAGTGTCTAAGGATGCTGGTACACTACAAGAATTTTTTATTTATTTATTTTTATTTTTGCTGACGACTTAATTTCTTACATAAATTCTCTAAATGTACTTCAATAATCTAACTTTACTGGTTGCATCACACCAAAATGAGATATATCCAACCAACTTTTTGAAACTTAATAGTGTGGTTTTAGGTTGGATTTACAAACATAGTTCGTAAAAGAAAATAATGTATATTTGATATATAAAGTAGATGTGATGATGTTATTATAAGGTTTTTGAGACTAAAATAAAATCAAATCTATAAAAATTTAGATTCAAAGTGAAAAATATCATATTATTTGATGGTGACATGCTCATTAATTTTGTGTAGGTGTACTGTGTGATAAGTCAAGGGTATTACTTTACTTTTGGATACATATTTGAAAACATAGGAAATGATTTAATTTAGTAGCAAATTGATTATAAAGTAGAGGCCACGTGGAACTTTATGTCACTGAGAAGCAGAGCATCGAATCACATCCCATTAAAAAAAGAAAAAAATATCACTTCCTTATTAGTGAGATAACATTAGTGGGAAAAATATATCTATATTTAAAGTGGTTTAATAAATAAGAAAAAGAAAAAAGGTTAGTGGGAGAGATGGGGTATGAAGTTCTCTTATCTTAATCACGGCAATAGACTTTTTTCCAAAAAACAAACTCGTGGCGAGGCAAAGCGATTTCATAGTGATAACGAGAGATACACGAGAAATATTAACCTCACTCGTGACAAGGCAACTGCACAAGAAAGTGGCCAATCAAATTCTTTGACTGTGACCGGTGGCAAACCAATTCGGGTAATGTTTAGGGTTGTTCTTTATGAAAGCGGGTGACTTTAATATCTATCGCGGGGTTGTCGTTGTTGTCCAGATCTAGAAAATCTTGTAACTTGCTACTTCGATGGCGAAAGTATTCCCTTTTCTATCGGTCATGTCGCTTGCCATTTTTTTTCAATACAAATAAATGTGATATTAAGATGAATAATTTATTGTCAATTATCGTTGAACTGAGTTCAATATGATTCTTAAATTATATCATCTAAGTTTGTAATTTATGAGAGAATATTATTTTTTACCTCTAGTTTAGCAATAAGCCAAATTACATCTCATCATAATTTATTCAACTAATTAAGACATCAATGTAGATGGTTGAATTCCTCCAATTTGAATAGCCAACGTATCCATCACGATTCCAAATCTTTGTCATTAGGCTATTTTTCATAAGATGATTAATATTTATTTTGATCATATCCATTTTACATTTTGAAAGGTGTGATTTTTTGGTCCATTTGTTAAAAGAAAAAGGATGGGATACAGTTTGTAAACGTCCGGTTTTGTTTTGTGTTGATATAACTTGATATGACACGGTTTGTCGGTAAAATAAAGATGATGGTCAACAGTGGAGCTAAATCAAAATCGTAAAAAGACAATTAACCGCGCGGCAATCGAAGATGTTACAGCAGCGGATCTCATCCAAAACAGATTTTTAGTTTACCTTTGCAGCAGGGAAAAAAAAAAACAAGATTTTTAGTCTAGGAGGAGGCCCACTACGAGTTTTACTTCGATTTTAAATAATGCTGAGGGCGAAACATAAACTCTCACTCAATTTACTAATTTAACCGGGGAAGAACTTAAGCAAGACACCGGTGTCGAGATCTGTTGTTGCACAAATTGACTTGTTCGAGGGCCCTATTGAAAGTCATGTTGACCAACTGAATTTCAAAATCAACAAATAATTTCTATTTACTTTGTTTGAAGTGATAATCTAATTGTAATAAATTTATTGTCTTAACTAGTTAAACTATTTTATAAATATTTTTAAAATTAAAGCAAAATTTTGAGGAAAAAATAGCTTTAAAAAATTTGACATAAATTAAAATATCTCTGAGGTAAGAGCCTACATATTGTAAAGCACAAGCATAATCTTTAAAAATATAAAACTAAAAATAAAATGATTATAAAAGCATATTAATTATTTTGGTTTAGATCTTATTATATAAGTTTTAACATTATGATCTAATTATCTTATTTTGTACTTTCTAAATATTTATTTTAATTCATAAATTTTAAAAAATAATTATTTTAATCCTTAAATTTATTTTACTTTGAATAGGTTGATAATATACGGTCTCAAATGTGTACTAACATATTAATATAAACATGTATTGCAATGAAATTGACTAAAGGAGTATTGATCGTCATCTTTGAAAGTTCATACACAGTATAATGCTTTAACTTCTAAGAAAGTAAATAATACTTAATATAATGCTTCAACTTCTAAGAAAGTAAATAATACTTAAAATTCCATGTCTCGTAATATTTATCAAAGTTTCTCCAATATATTCAAAATCTTCAGATTAATGTTATTTTTCTTAGTGCAGGGGTTGAACTTCTAACATCTTGAGAAGGAGCAAATTGGCTCCAATTAGTGTTGTTAACATGATCAACATTTTTTAAGTATCTTGTTTAGGTGAAGTTAAAAAAGTATATATTATAAAGACAAAATTTTACATTATAACCATTTCCACATAAATATATATTTTTATTATAAAATTATTGGAAAATTAGAGTGAAACAATAACCTAAGGGGACAAAGTAAGAGAGTAATTATCTTATACTTTATTACTTCTAATTTTAATAAGTGCAGAACAAGGTAAATATTTAACATTAAAAGGATTTTGCTTATACAAATATAAAACAATAAAAAACGGAATAACGGTGGGTGGGGTTAACGGAGTCTTTTAACCGTTAAACCAAAAAAAAAAAAAACCGACAAGATGGGCATAATTTATAGTATACAGTGCTGTTAGGCAGGGATATGTGGTCCAGATAAGGATGTTTTATAAATTAAATATCATGATCTATAAACCTTTGTCCATCATTACTTTAAGATAAAAACCTATATAATACTAAGTTTATTAACATGAAAGCAATGATGCAATTCTTGGTGTTCGAGTCCATTAATGTAATAAAGTTGCCTTACTTCCCAAGATTGGACTGTGAAAAAGTAGATATCAAACTTTACCTAACATTGATACTCATTATTTTTACTTTTATCAATCCGATCGCAACCATATAAAAAAAGAAGTTATGCTATTTTAGGAATTTATTAAAGATACATATAGTATAGGATTGTAAGGTAAAGTAACAACTTATGGATATGAATTGGGCCTCCATCAGGTTCTAAACGTATCTCACACACATTTAGAGCTTTGCTCTCCAACGACACGAACCTGTCTCACACATTTAGAGCTTTGCTCTCCAAGGACACCAGCACCCACCCCAAAATCGAGAAATCTAGACTCGAGAGACAATTAGGTTCGATATTGAGACTGGTTGTGACCAAAAGACCTTAAGTCCGTCTTGATCGATATACGTTTTAGTTCTATTTGTCTGCATTAATAATTGACATTATTTACGAAGTACAAAACCTACTATGTGATTAAATTTTAATTTGATCAAACTTTTATTCTTAATTCGTTGATCAAAATAACATCAACAGACATAAAAGCTGAATCTAACTTATGATCTTTTTCCAAATACTTAAAGACAATATTTTGATGTTTAATACCAAAAGCTTTTTCTTCGGTCAAAACTATCCTTTACCCGTACATATTTTGATAGAATTACAGGTGCGAATTCTTTTGGACACGAGGAAGTTCTAAACTGGAGGAAGTTTTTAAGGAACACAAAATTTCCCAATTAAATCAAGGAAATGCTGGAGGGCAACACCTATAGCAATCGAGAAGGGAGGGAAGAATGGATTTGGGACCAAGAATATATTTTAAACTTTCCTAAGTTCAACGCTAGAAAAACTCCTCTCTCTAAAGGGAGTCAAAGCATTATCCCAGTGTACCAGGAAATCAAATGCTGTCCCCCAGCAGTTTTCAAGGTCAAATTGAATACAGATGCAGGATTGAAAATAAAACCAACAGTATTGTCACTATTTTCAGAAACAATGGAGGGGAAGCAACGTATACCTTCTTGAAGATCTTCCCATGTATTATTGATGTCAATTTTGTTTAAGTGTTGGCCCATTCACGCGGGTATACATGTCGCGATGAATTCGAGCTTCACCTTTATGGGAGTAGAGACTGATTCTACAAGAGTCTTCGATCTGATTACATCAAGGAAAAGGGATGAATTAGAAGTGAGTTTGATGTTAATTGAAATCATCATAGGGATGCAAATATGCAAAAATGACAGTAAGCCTCCAAATCAAGGATTGCGGGACGGAGGATGTCGTCCCTGATTGTAAAGAAAAAACAAGAAAAAGAAACAATTACCGTTCTGTTTTTCTTTTTTTCACAAGAAACTGAAAATAAGAAACAAAAAGTAATGTTACCAAGCAAGCTATAAATAAATACAAAGAATTAGAAAATGTTGAATCTATGAACTAGCTTGAGAAGAAAACTGAAGGGTCCGAGTGTGCAACCAATTACCAATCTATTCACGATTATACATCCTTAGACAAATTATTATGCTCATTATATCAAAAGTCCACTTCAAGGTTTCAGCCGAAACTACCCCAAATGTGGAATAAATGATGATGAACAATTAATTAAGAAATACTTTTCTCGAAAATCAGAAATTAATACCAGTAACTAAACAAACAAGGATGAAGGAAAAATGCCGGCAAAGTCCTTTTCATCATGGCAAATACCGTGTCTATCAGAACTAGTTCCAATTGGTTGGACCATCATATAGAAGAATTGATGTCTGCAATAAGGGAAATGAAAATTTTAAAACCATATAAAAAGAAAAGAGTACCGTGTCCCAACCATTTTTCTAAAACTTAGTCAATTCACTGCTACATTTTTGGACACTTGTTAGCGAGATAAGAACATGATTTGTTTTGTTGTATGAGCAACTCAAAGAAATTGTACAACATCCCACACAAAAAAGTGAACAGTTAAAAATCTGAGCACAAGGGACAACAACCAAAACACGATATTGCATAATGAAGCACTGATTGTTGATTGATAATGGAATTAGGATAGCTTCATGTGAACAACAAAAAAAACCAATAATCTGTTTTAATATAAATTGAAAATTAAAATAGAGAATTGTGATACGAAAGAGAAGTCTTTCTTTCGAGTTATGAAATTATGAAATCACTTTAGTTACAAAAAGATATTAAAGTAATTGCGTCAAAGTACACACTTTCATGACATTACCATTCAGCTGAGAAACTGTTACGGTATGAGGAATCTAGCAGATAAATTGTGCATTATTAAGAACCTTCAATCTTATAAATTCGAGCACGATGAACTAAGTCCCAAAAGGAATTCAAGGATCAGTGAGAAACTGAGTTCAAAATGCGAACAGTGGACAGTCATTTTACATCACACAATTTGAGGTTAGTGATTCTCCTCTAAAAGCAAGAATTCCAGGAAGGGATAATGGGGTATAAAGCAGTCCACCTGCAATATTGAGTGTTTTTAAGCTTGAATAACTTGAAATGAAAAAATCAAACTTAGAATTGGATAGTATATAGATTCAGGATACATAATACTCACTTCACTTCCTAAGCTACATACTAATTTTGTATTGATCATAACCTCACCAATCTCAACATGGAAGCAAAAAACAAAACTAACAATTGGTTTTTAGAACTGCAAAAGGAATCATTGATTTTTGTCAATCATGGTGTAACTACAAAACAACACCAGGTCAAGTCATGATCAACTAAGATATTGACAAAATTCGAATATGAAATCAAAAGTATCCAACTTCCACAAATTGATTAGATTCCAACTTAGGATCTACAATCCTCCTGAAAATAAATTTGGTAGCAAGTGAGGGAGAATGACCTTAGAGATAAATTTGTCTGTCTTCATCATTCAGTATCTGTTGTGCCACTGCTTACGAATCACCAACATGATTCTAAAGAACTGCAAATGGAATCTGTAAGTAAGGTTCTTTGTTGTAATTAAAAATCCACGCATACTCACTCTTTAGTAGAAGAGATCTATAGAGTAGGGGAAAAAAGAAAAAGGCACTTCACCAAATAAAAGAAATACCCGATAGGACAAAATTCGCAACAACTAAAATTTTCAAAGAATTACAAATTAAAAATAACTCAAACTGAAACGGTTTTTCTGTACGAGGAAATTAAGGGAAAACAGTCCCACTGATGTATCTTCTCAACAGGTACCTACCAAGAGCATGGGCTTGCATAGAATCCTTGCATTAGAAACAAGGACCTACAACACATATTAAGGATATATCTTTGCAATGGATGGAGGGTGCAGAATAAAAACTAAAACTATAGAATTACAAATTCGAGAATTCAAATCTGGAAGAATAATTGATAACCAAAGGTACAACATTCAAAATTATGTTAGAAGAAAAGTATTCAAGATCCATTCCAAATGTTTTGTTCTCAATGAAATTTGTACACTACTAAAGTTAAGGGGAATAGTGGATGGAAAATGCATGGAAATATAACCAACCTTGAAGCTAATAACACAAACTCAAACGAGGAAACTGTTGCAACAGCAGGCCATCTTCTTAAGAACCCACCAACATTTTCACTCATTGAGAAATGTGAAAAAAAAACACTAAATTATAACATTTATACTCAACTTCTTAATTTGTTTCATATATGTTGGGATGGGACTGACGGGGCTCGAACCTGCAACTTCCACCTTAACAAGGTAGCGCTCTGACCAATTGAACTACAATCCCAATAGAAGAAAAATAAGGCAGTCTAAACTAATTATTATTTATCATTGAATTTTTTTCAAACAATTTGGTTTCACAGCACAAGAGGGAGCAGTGATTGAGAAATAGGGGATTGTCTTATTGTGATATGCAAGTGTTATTCTTCAAAATAACAATATAAATATTGTTGACTACATTGCTGGCAAAAAGCAAGGGCAAAATAACCCATAGTAATGTAAATATATAAATTCAATTCCAACGAAAAAAGAAAAGCATACATTTTCATTATTTATAATGAAGACAGCTTAATAATAATAGTAATCATAACAAATGCTAGAATATCTTTCCACAAAAGCAGGAAATGGAGTTCAAAACTGCTAGCTTGCATACATTATTATCATGCAAGAACGTATTTACTTTACATTAAAAAAATAATAATAAAAAAAAATTCAAGACAAAGTTTTAGTTTTCATTTCTTTTGTACCTGCTTCAACCAGCAAGGGAGGCCGCCTCCCTAAGCCAGGTCCTGCAAAGTGCAAAGATAATACATGTCCACGAAGGTTAGATGCTTCCAATTATCTAAGGCATGATTTCAGCCATCCACTTACCCCCAAAAGGCACGATTCCAACTTCCATCCTTTTTTACAGTAACCGCATACGGTAAAATGTATAAACAAAATTTCTTCGATGATGGCATCTATATTTTTCTCAAAAAATGAGAGGAAAGTAAATTATTATCAACTGTTATTTGATTACTTAATCTTCTAGGGCTAGAAGTTCTTGAAAAGAGAAGTAAAGAAATATTGTGAGTTGTGGTTTTCGATCTCCAGCACGAAGTATACAACCTACGGTGGAAGAGCGAATGACCTAAAGCAAAACTTGTTACCGAGTTGGAGCCTTACTATTGGACAAAGTTCAGTGAAGAAGTGTAAAGCAATAAGAGTGAAGCTCTGGATTTATAACTAAGCCAACCTAAAACAATTTGCAGTAATGTACCCTCGAAATTCTTGCCTTCGATCCTCAAACTTCCCAAGGGTTCGTGTATTTGAATTTCTTCTGAAATTGAAGATTGTCGCCTTCCTCTGTCTCTCAGTTCAGCAGAATGTCATCCAACTTAGGGCCAATCTTTCATTCCACTGGTGCCATCCGCAACACCACCACCAAAATAATGATCATGTTAGGGTTAGGGCTTTAAAGTTAGGTTTTTTTCGTTGCTTCCCTTACCAATTCGTTCCCTGTGATTGATCCATCAACAGCAACATCTCATTTATGGCCGCCCAAGTCGCCTAATTCCCATCAAATTCTGGTAATGTAAGAAACAGATGCAGTAAGAAGAAAACCCTAAAATCGAATAGAATAGAGAGTTGAGGAACACGATAACGGAGGAAATGAAGCAGCCCCGACTAGAAAGAAACTCGTACCACACAAGAGAGTAAAGAAGATGAAGTAGGCAGCAATGAATTTATAGGAGAACGGATTGCTTGACAACTAGGCAACCTCGATCGCGGACATTTTACGCTTCAGATGTTATGGTCTTCGATTAGTAAAGCCCTATTTGTTAAGTTTTTCGGTTCATTGAGCCCAATAATGATTCTTTTAAGCCCACTACAAAAGTAGAGCAATGTTAAAAATATTTTTAAATCGAGCATAATTTTTAAAAATAAAAAATAAAATTAATAAAATTGCTATCAAAAGACACCGTAGCCATTAAAAATTTATTTTATTTTTTAAATTTAGCTAAAAATTCAAATATATTTGTAAAAATCTTTAAATTATACAAAAACAGGTATAATTTTTAAAATAAAAAACTAAAATAATTCCTAATTTTGGCATTTTTATAGTTTTTTTATTGCAATTAAAAGTTAGTAGGTTGAACTGCTAACCGTCACTAAATTCATGCGCTCCATGCATTCTAAAACACATATATCAAGTCTTTAAGTATTAGCTAAGTTTTTATTGACTAACCAAAATGAAAAAGAAAAAGTGAACATCATTAAACCAAATAGTTATAAAAGTTTTAAATTCAATCCTAACATATGAAATGATAAAACAAAAAATTAAGAATAAATTTGGTAACTATTTTAGTTCCTCATTACTCATTTATAAATTACATTTTAGAGATTGTGAAAAGAATTATGAGAGTAAAAATATCAATTTTTTAAATTTCTTATTCATGATCCTATTTTTTTTTCCAAAATAAAAATAAAAGCACTCTTGACTTATAAAATGAATAATAAAACGTTCTAGTAAAAAATTTAAATATTTAATTAAAAAATAATTTTCATATAAAACTTTTTGTAAATTAAAATTGTCACGAACCAAAAACAAAAAAATAGTTACAAAACATATTCGTTTCATTTTTCAATTAAAAGGGATGTAAATAATAAAACGTTTTATTATCCTTTATTGATAAAAAAAAATAAGAAGAGAAAAAATATAAGAAACCAGAAACAACAATTTAGAAAAGGTTGGATCAATAAACTGGAAACCAGCTAGATGTAACATGAGAGAGCTAGATGTAGTGTCAATCTATCCAAAATTAGTTCCCTCCACATTGTCTACAAAAATAATTAAGAAGCACTTTTCAAATATATGGTTAAACTCTCACCGCAAAGCACAGAATATAGTTAGGGTTCTCCTTTCCTCTCCGATCTGTACCCATAGTATCGACAAGTTGTAGTAACGATTGTTTGGTTCGAAACAACCAAGCCATTTCTCTGCAAAACTTGCACAGAACTGAGCAAGAAAACAAAGACAAAAAGCAAATGTTAAATCAACTACTGCCCATCAAATTCCAATAATGAATGAGCAAGAAGTAAACCATAAAAGGGAGAGCTTAGCACGGTTTAGAATTGGCAAAAACTTGTTTTTCAAATGGAAACAGCAAGTTTTTTAATAAACAACTTTCCGAAGTCATTGTATTAGTAAATAGCCAAAGCAAGCATCTCAACAGTAATTAAGATACATCCCCAACCAATAAGGTGTGAATTCGATCTCCCACCCTCATATGTACTAAGAAAAACTAAAAAATAACATTCATATGAATAAGATATAAAAATTTGAAGGCCGAGGTAAGACTTAAACTAATACAAATTAATAATATGAAAATGACTAACTTGTAATAAAAACCAAAAAAAAATATAATATAATAAAAACGTGAAGTGTGAATGGTTGCACCATCGCCAGCTAGGGTTGAGGATGAGGGAGTATAAATGCCCTCAAAACCTCGACAAATAAATTCAGGTAATGAAAGAAACAACCATCAACCTAGGGATCAATAAAGACCAATGTAAATAGCAAACAGCTTAGAGGAAATGGGTTCAAACCATGGTGGCCACCTACCTAGGATTTAATATCCTAGGTGTTACCTTGGCAACCAAAGAAGAAACAGTTCAGCAAGAAAAAACCCTTACAAACAAAGGTTTATAAGGAAACTTTTACCAGAGGAAAGGATGCAAATCACAACTAGAAGAAAACTTTCTTTCTACCCACACACACCCACACATGCACACACGAATTCTTTGCGACAGTTTATTTATCCAGTCACTTTAAATCATTCGCTACCCTAAGTCACAATCACATAATATAGGAAAGAACGCATGACTTTCGAATAAGCAAAAGTAAATTAAGAAGCGGAAAACAGATAACAGAATTACTTACCTAACATTTTCTCCCTCATGCATTGATAATGAATTATGATCGGCCCAGCCTTCCTTGACTTAACTAGTTCCTTAGCAACTACCTGAAATAATTATCACAAATGTATGACTCACGCATTAAAAAAGAAACAAATTCCATTATTTTGAATAACAAAGCATCTCCGCCGATTTATAATTTAGAAAAGCGCTTTTTTGCTAAATTCTCACCCATATCACTTTAAATTAGATTGACGATCTCCCCCTTACCAAATACTGGTTTTTATATTAAAACGTTAGCTTTCTTGAAACATTCGTTGGTTGAAGAAGAATGTATTTCATTAGAGTTTAGGATTGATAAGTTAAAAGAAAAGGACCCGTATGGGAAACACGGAGCAAGAGTTACAAAGGGAAGAACGGAGCAAGCAGAAAGTTCAAAGATGTTTTCGGTGGAGAGTGACAGATAACATTGGAGTGGAGGATGATAATTTTAATTTAATGAAATGGACTTGTCGTGGAAAATTAGGGAAAGGTGAAGAATGATTTCTACTGAGACATATAATGGTAGACCCTTCTCTCAATGAAACATTCTCACAAACCAAGGAAAGCGACAAATTGTTAAAAAAGATTGTTCCAAATATAGATAAAAAACGTTTCGATGCCGGTAGTTCACGTAATACAACAAGAAATTCACATTATACAACATATTCACACACGTAATACAACAAGAAATTCACATTATACAACATATTCACGCATACAAATAGTGCTTGAAAGATTAAACATACCTAGCAGGTTCTAAGGTAGCAGAAATTAGTTCCATATAGCCGCAGCTTCTGACTAAAAAGTAACAGTTTATGAAGTGATTGTGTTTTCTAAAAATCAAGTAGTAAATAACGTAAGAAATTGATGTATTCAGTCGTACAAATTAAGTAGTAATAAATTGATAATTAAGAGAGAGAATTTAGATTTTAAACAATGTTACAAGGGCTCTAATTAATTTTAGATGAAATTGAGCTACCTTAACATTAGGGGAAACCTCTCTTGCCCTCTTGCTCCATTTGATTGTACTGATAAGTCCGAAATGGCTGTGAAAATGAGAAGGTGATTGTACACTACATTTAAATTTTGGAATTTCTTCCATTCTCTGCAAATAGGTCCAATCCTGATCAGAGATGATTCTTTTTTTTTCTTTTTTCTTTTTTAATGAACTTCCAGAGTTGATTTAAACCAGTGTAGTAGAGTTTCAAACTCTACCAATGTTTGTCCCTTAATTCGACGGAATATGTAATACGTTAATGACATGGTGGTTATACTTACCTAAAAGTTCATTGCCGATTACATTCGTGTCAATTCAAACGGCGACACCCTTCCCATTTTGTGATGGTAGCCGAGCGTCACTAGGAAATCGATCCATTGACACTTCGATTCTTATAGCCTGCCACAAATTCAAATTGTCGACGATATAGATACATTAGTGTTAGCACATTGTATTAACTTTATAAAACGTCAAAATATTTCAGCGCTGCGGCCACTTCAGTTTTCCGCCATTATCTGATTCATAAAATTGTTGCCGCTATGCCATGGCCCTCTGGTTCACACACACTTCGATTCTTCTTCAACGAAAACCACGGCCGCTCTCGTTTCTCTTCACTGCGACGAAGAGAGCCTCTGTTTCTCAGTTCAGAAGAATTTTCCGAAAGGACATTCAAAGTAATAATCGAGTTAGGGTTAGGGTTAGGGTTTTACAGTGAGGATTTTCCTTTGTTTTTGCTTGAGGCTTGGCCATTTGATCTCATCTCCTCTGATACGAAACTTGAAATCTTCCATTCCAGGTCGACGAACAATTGATGGGAAGAAAAAAAAATAATCGAAAATTGCATTAGGTACTGCACTGTACAACTGCAGAAAACCCTAAAAAATAGAGATCTGAGAGAGTGGATAAAGGAACACATAACGGAGTAAAGTACGCAGCTACGATTGTACGAAACTCTCGCAGCAAAGCGCGGAAAATCGTGAAGAAGACGAAATGGGCGGTAACGTATTTATAGCGAACAGGTTAGCTTGCGAAATACGCGAACCCGATTGCGGATTTTTTACGCTTCAAAAAGTTATGGGCTTTTTCCAAATAAAAGCCCAAATTGGTGACTTTAGCGGCCCATTAAGTCCAATACTAATCCAACCTCCACTAATACTAAATTATTTCTGTGTTTTATAATCACATGAATAATGTAGTTGGAAAAGTATTTACACAAATATGGTAGGGAAATTGCTGGCTAGGATTGCATATAAAATGTATCCAATAACAATGATACAAAATTGCGGCCATTAACCGTGATTTAACGTGAAGTCACATCCATACTACGACTTCATGTCACATGGTCCAATAAGATCGTCGGAGCCACAGGTGGATAGGAGGAAAATCGTAGACATTAGCATATTTTTTCGTTCTTTTTTTTTACTTTTATTTTAAAAGTTTTCTCTTTAAAGTAATGTGTTTTTTTCAAAATGTCCTAAGTTAGCAGTAAGACTAAGTTATCTTGGTGTGCTCTAATTTGAATTCTTTGAAATAATGTTGAACTAAATTTAGATAGGTTTGACGTAATTGCTGCATGGTGGATGTTCCACGTAAGATGAAGCAACTCAAATTCCATCTTAAAAATAACCTCTGATTGATTGAAAAAATAGTAATATATTATGATTTTTTTTTTACAACATGTGGGGTGGGGGTTCGAACTCATGACTTTTTTTGTCAGAGATATATGCCTTAACCACTTGACCTATGCTCGGTTTGACATATATATTATGATATTTTTGTAAAATATAAAGGAATATCGAATATTCTATAATGGTAGGTAAGGGTATGTATAATATAACCTGCTCTTTTAATGGTTTCTAATGTATTAATTAATTAATGTATACATGAGAATGTACCGTATATTGTTATTTAACATATCTATACTTCTATACTATATATAAATGGGGTTATGGAGGAGAATTTTTGCCTTCCATTTTTGTCCCTCATTTTTTAATATATACATATTTTACTGTTGAAATTCCTATGAGACACGACTATTCGAAGATGTCTGTTGAGATAAATTAATCTAAAAGAGATGCGACTGTTGTATTAAGCGACGATGCATCTATTCGCTTATAGGTGTGATTGCAAATCACCTATAAAAGAAAACCAACCCATGTATTTTTTTTTATTTTACCAAAAACTCATGTTCGAGACATTGTAAAACTTCATTGTGAATTGTGTGGCTAGGTGAAAACAAGTGGTGTAGGTGATTCATAATGATGAAAGAAAATGAAAGTAACGAAAGTTGTGAAAATTGGAGACCTCCATCAGCAACGATCAAGATAACGTTGGCATCATATATCTGTGATTGAAGGTTTGTTTTTTTTTATACGGACACGATTATTCGAAGATGTCTATTGAGATAAATTAATCTAAAAGATATGTGATTGTTGAATTAAGCGACGATGCATCTATTCGCTTATAGGTGTGATTGCAAACCACCTATAAAAGAAAAGAAACCCATGTATTTTTTTATTTTACCAAAAACTCATGTTCGAGACACTATAAAACTTCACTGTGAATTGTGTGGTTGGGTGAAAACAAGTGGTGTAGGCGGTTGATAATCATGAAAGAAAATGAAAGTAATTTGTGAAAATTAGAGACCTCCATCAGCAACGATCAAGACAACGTTGGCGTCATAGGTTTGTTTTTTTTATACTATATGAGGAGGATTTTTATACTATATGAGGAGGATCTTTACCTCCCCATTTTGCCCCGAACTTTTTAAGATATATCAAGTTTACCCTTCATCTATATTATATATTATTCTATATACCTTTTCTATGTGATGCTATTATTTGAAAAGGGGTGTCTGTTAGAGAAATAGTACGTTGAAAAGGTATGACTATTATTCCTTTACAAACTATTTATAGAAGCAGTCCGTTGATGAGGTATGACTGTTCTGGAAATAGTGTAAATTAAAAACTCATATCTTCATTCCCATAAAATGTCTACAAAAATCTTTCTTTTACCAAAGAACTCATACATTTACAAAAGGATTGAAAATTAAAAGTTTTTGTTTTTCGTAGGGGAAACGAAGCATGCCAAAATCAAGATTTGTGAATATAAAAATTAATTTTAGCGAGATAAAGTATAAAAATTGATGTGAATTAGGAGGGTTATGTTTTATAAATTTATGTAAATTATTGTATTGTTATCATATTTTGAGTAGTTTTTTTATAAACAGATAATTGTTGTTTTCTCTTTAATTATTTGTTTTTGATCACTATAAAATTATATTTAATATTTGTATTTCGTCTGCTGAAAAAACATCCATCTTCATCGAATGCTGAGATTTAAAAAATATATATATTGTATTTATTAATTTTAATTTTTGGATTTTTAAATTGATGTTAAATTTGTATTGAGTATCTATTTCCTAGACTGATGTAGGTAGTTACTATTATCTTAATTACTTTTAGATTATGTGTTTATATTTTTTAATTTTGTACTATTTGAATTCCAAAATCTATTTAATCTAGGCAGAGTATAAAAGTATGCATTCATGTTAGGATTTAACTTTTAGTTTTTTTTAGATTATTTTAATCTTTTTATGTAGATTATTTTCAATTATATATATTCATGATACCTTCGTGTTTTAATATTTGGTTAATGTTCTTTTCAAGTTTAATTTAATATTTAGTTATTCTTTTTTCAAACTTTAAAATATATTCATGTTATATTTTAGTATTATTTTTCATATTTATCTTAATATGTTTTGTTCCTATTTTATTTTTATCCCATATTTTTTTAATGATTTCATGGTAGTATGCATTATTCAGTTTCTTTCTAAAATTTCAATTATTTAATTTCTCTTATTTGAGATTTTATTTTTATATTTTAAAGGTACAATATCACTTATATTTATCATTTTAAAAATAAAAAAAATGATATTTGATTTGTCAATTTTCAATTTTAAAAAGTAGTTTAAGAGTGATAAACGGTCAATTTTATTTCTTCCTATTATAATTTTGACTATCTGACAAATAATTTCATTGTTTGGATATTTAGTTACATAATTTGATTTAATTTATCATGTCTTAGATTTACTTATTTTTAAAATTATAAAAATATTTTTAATTAAAAGTTGATAACCACATTTATTATTTCAAATTTAGATCATATTAAATGTTTTCTACCCATCTTATTTTATTGTCTTATTTTTTAGCTGGAATACTGTATTTTTTATAGAAAATATCAACCAATACTAACATATTTTATTTGAAAAACTAAATATTAGTACCATTTAAAAATTCGGTTTAGTTGTCATTCTATATGTTAAATATTAGAAATATTATATTAAAATATTTAAAATCACGTGCAATACACGTGCGTGATATTAACTAGTAGATATATGTGTGTGTTAAATCATCGTTGGGCTATGCGTTTGACATAACCACACTATATATGATATATACTGTATAACTCATTAGTTTGGTATATAATATACAATGTATATTCTATAACGCATAGAAGAAATCAGTTACATAAGAAAAACAAAATGAGAAGAATAAATTATGGCAAATTGCAAAAACCACTATGAACTATAATAGTTGTCACAATAACACCCCTCTGAACTTTCAATTTAAATTAAAACTTCGAACTTTTAAAAATGAAAAAATTAGACCCTGAAATTTTACAAGTAAAAATCAAACTCTTAAACTTTCACAAATTAGAAAATTACACCCTGAATTTTTGTAAAAATTAAACCCTCAAAATTAAAAGAATTGAATCTATTTGAAAATTCCAAAACAACTTGTACGATTTGACTACATCAGTACGATGGAGAGCTTTTGTTCAATCTCTAAATCTAGCCAGGGATTCAATTTCCCTCACCATCACCAAGATTGATGTCGACTTCAACAACTTCTCTGACGGTAGAATTTGTCGAGTTGAAATTTGTACAAGGAAGTGGAAGAAGATGAAGAATATGAAGACGCTGAGAAAGAATTGAGGTTGCAATCAATATCTAGAGCTAAATCAACCGGTAATCCACCTTCAATCGACGATGTAAAGGCCAATTATGCCTCTTCTTCCCCTTCTCAGTTACCTAATTCCAAGAACGATGTTAAATTTTTCCTTCATGTCGGAGGAAACACCTCAGAATTCTGGTTTCGACGGAAATGCAATTCAAGATCTTTGACGTGTCGATTTTGTAGACAAAGGCGCGTGGAGCTTTAAAATTTCTGAGCCATGAGCACTACCAGAATTTTGTGGCAGACTTCCAATACTGTTTATCTGAGATGTCCGCAAATTTAAATTTACCTTCAAAGTTTGAAAAACTCTCCCGCGACCCAACTTAATTTTGGGCCTCCTAGGGGCCCATATGAAAATGGGGCAAAACCAGACGAACGCCTAGTTGGGCTCCTTGATGAAGTCTCATTTGACTGGTCAAACAAGACAACGACGTCGTTTTCAGTTGCTGACAGTAGTCGAAATACCGTTACAACTCTCCCCATTCTCTCTCATGACTGATCTAGGGTTGCTGCCATAATCAGACTGAAATCGAGCATATGGTGGAATTAACGGACGATCGATCGGTCGATCGGAAACCCTAACCTTGATGGCTTGATGGTTCAATCTTCAATTACAGAACCCTAATTCATACTATCCGGCGTTGTTCCGCTCCCAATTGTTGTTCTTCGTTCTCTCCTTCCGTTCAAAGGTTCAATATGGCGATCAAGAGGTTTACTAGAATATGGACGAAATCTCGGGAAGATGTGTTGTCTCTTCCCACTCGGGATGATCCGTTCAGCGACGATTCCCGTCCCATCGACAGCCAAGGTAATCTCTCATCGGAATTTAATTCGCATACGTTGACGATTCTCGTCCAGTTACTGAAATTTGATCGTAGGCTCGAATGCTCTCAACCTAATTCGGTTTTTGATTTACAGAACAAGAGGAGATGGTTCGTTCGTTCGAAAGGGCAAACGCACAACAGAGTTTTTTTTGGCGGGTATGGTACGGCTGAATATTCTCCAGCGGTTTTGTCCTAATTTCTCTTCATTCTAAGAAAATTATGGAATCTCGTTTCTGATTGCTCTTCTCTGTGCTCGATTGTTCGTCAGACTGTGTTTGTAGCATTTCTCTTTTGCTTCGCGGCTTTTCTTCTTTACTCCATCGTCGAGCAGGTTTCATCCCCATGGGAACTGGTATGCTAGTTTTCCTGAGAATCTTATCCATCCATGTTGTTGCTCTTGAATGCATTATTTTGAGATATTAAGATGGTGTTTATATTTTAAAGAAGTATGAAAGCAAGTCTTCTTGTTGAATTAAATTCTTATCACGAAATTGAAACTTCTTCGAAGAGCTTCACTCCAATTTCATTGTTTTACTTCTATATGCTTTAGTTATAGACACAGTATTGTAAAGGATGCATTGAGTTTATGCTCTTGGTTCCATCGTTTGCATTCTACAGATGCACTACCTTTTATTTTGTTTTTTTTTTCCACTGCAGCGTTATCATGCTTACTTCATGGAGGAGGTCGACTCAAGGATGATTATAGCTGCAGGTTTGTCTTACAAATTTCTACATTGGTTTCAACTCGTTTTTTCATGTTTGATTCTCACCACTTCAATGAAGTACAAAAAGGCGCCATCCATATCCAAACACTCCAAGGGCCAAGTTCATTTCAGAGTTCTATTGCTGGCTGTGAAATGTGTTGAACTGTAGCCATGCCATGTCTTTAAGTTATATGCTTTCACGCTCTGTTGGAATCTTGCTAATACTAAGAATTGAAATTCTACAGATTGGGTTGCTATTTTAGCGTGTTCATTTTCGATCATTGGGATTATTAGTAAGTCAAATTACCACCGGCGATGGCTGTGGTGCTCATTCTTAATTGGCATCCCACTCTCTGTTTTCTGGTTACATTTTATGATGAGGTATTGTAGGAAAACTCTCATAGTCTTTTTTGTCTATTGATTGTGTCTGTTACTTGGTGAGTTTTATTCCAGTGTAATTCTTCGATATTTAACCATTTTGTCAAAGTTATGCTACTTAATGAAGATGTATAGTGTATGGCTTTTACTTGTCATCTATAATCCTTTTCGTTTTCCTAATCTGTTGTCAGTTGTTTTGGTTCTTTTACTCATTTTCCTATAGAGCAGAATGTTGTGAACAGTGATCTATTCCGATTTCATGTGTCTAGTTCATATATGTATGTAAGTACATATGTATAAGTATATCTTCTAGTAGGAAAGAGGGGTCTTCCAACACCATGTCAGTTGAGCAACAAACTTAGAATCGGACTGGTAAATAATAGAAGAGATATATTAAGCAAAGAAAAATCTAGACATAATGTGCGAAAATAACAGAATAAAAGTATCTATCATATGTCTCTTCCAATGAATTTTTCTTTTCGGTCACTTTGTGATAACTGTTGGTGTCACTTAATAAGGGCGATCTGAATCGATGAATTTACAGTTTGCAATGTTTCATTTTTGTTGCAGTTTGCCTAAGTTTCGATGGGATGTTATCTGGCTTCCTTTTGGTCCTCTCTGGTAGTTCCTGAAAAATGATATGGTTCTCTCACATTTTTCGTTTACGTTTATGTACTTTGGAACTCACTTCATGCTTACGCTTGTGTTTATTGCAGTGGGGCAGGAATATGTTTGTATGTAGATCATTTGCTAGCTGAATCATCAGAGGAGATAAGAAAACTTAGAGGCTACATGTATTCTTATAAAGCTAACTGAAAACTGGCCTGACCTCAGTTTAAACGTTACAGTCCTGTGTATTATGTGGTGGCAGGGATTTTTTTGTTTTTCATATCTACTTGTAAGTTAGAACTTAGAACTACGTCAACTATCTTTTCTTTAGTTTTTCACTTTTTACAAGTGCTTCTAAAATCTTTTTTTAACTCTCAAGGAAAAAAAGGGAATTTGATTTTAGTTGTTCCATTCTAGATATGATTCAAAATTAATTTTGAAAATGGATTAGATAACAATTAAAAAAATTATAAATAGGCATAACTTTATAAACTAAATGTTATTGATCGATCATGTCCTGTAAAACTGTTTCAGGTCACTGACATGTTTGTTTCTTATGTTGATGGCCTAATTTATAAAACCAGCTTAATACATGTATAAACATGATGTGAAACCTGAAAGTTACCTCCAAGGTAAAGTATATCCTCCTTTATTTTTGTAATGGTAGAATCGTGCTGTTTTGTTCTCGGAAGGAGAGGAAAAGTGTGTAAAGAGCAAAATAAGAAAAGTATGTAGGGTAAAATACATTTTTGGTCTATGAGTTTGAGGATAGGTTTCGATTTGGTCTCTAAATTTCAAAAAGTGATATCTGAAGTTAAAATTGAATGTTGATGTGGCAATGGTGAGTTTGATATTTTATAAATTTCGTATGATTTTTATTTGTATGAAATTTTTTTATACAGTAAATATCAATCCATGACTTCTATTTGTAAATTTTAAGTTGATTTCAATTCGTATTGATCCACTTACATATAATAACTTATAAAATGGCAAAATGATTCACTGTTAATTTGTCGTCATCAACCCTAAAGTCCTTTCCAAGTTAACTCTTCACTTCACAAACCATAAAAAATTGATGAGTCCTTTCCAAGTTAACTCTTCACTTCACAAACCATAAAAAATTGATGAGTAAGTTGAATGATAGAGAAGTTTCCAAGTATAGTTTGAATATTGAACCTTAGAAGTCGTGTAGAGACGAGAAGAAAAGAGGAAGTTGGTTTTCAAGCAGTAAACATCTCTGAAGTTGGTTTTCATGGAAAGATATTTTGTAAAGGGAGGAGAGACTGGGGGAGGGAAAACGATCGGAGAGAAGAAGGGGGAAGAGAGAGAAAGAGGAAATGGTCATCAATGACCTTCGTTAGCATTTCGTTGGTCCACGATAAGCCCCAGACTGAATGTATGAAGAAACCATATAAGTGGTGTGTGTTAACGACTAAACTCAAGTTTGATTGTGATTTATATTCAATAAATGATGAAATTAGTTAAATCTGCAATAGTAAGTGAAAATAAGTGTTAAATAATAAACAAGTTCATTAATGGAAGGTGAAATTGATGCCAATAATCAAGTGTAACAGAAAAAACACTCAAGTCAAAACACGATTAAGCAAACACTAACATAACTAAAAAGAGCTTCTTCCACTGGGATTGAAAGTAAAATAAACAAGTGCACCGATCGGAGGACAATGACAGATAACTCTCAAAGAAATTTAGGACAAAAATTTGCCAAAAGCTTCAAATACCAGAGAAACAAGAAGGCAAATGGTATGAGATCAATCTTCTTCATCAATGACCTTCGTCCCTAATCCTTTCAAACCTTCTGCTGGGATTTCTGCAACAGTAACAAGAGAATACAATTCTTCCTTTGCATCCTCATCATCGTTCCTCTTGCGTGCAATGCGAACTCTAATTCTCCTCGGAACACTTCGAATTCCTCTGCTCCAGATGTGCTTGTTCAATTTCACGTCCACCCTGACGTCCTTCGTTCCCATTGCTTTCTCTGCAAACTTTCTGATTTCCTTAATGGCATTGGGAGCCTTCTTCTTGAAGGTACTGTCATTTAGAATTCCAGTAATGCATGAGAACTACAGAATTGGAACGTTCGCGAAATACGTAATTTTGTATTCGAAATTGGTACAAACAAAAAATTCTTCCAGTTGTAAATGAAAATAATGATGGAAAGAAATTAGGGGGAAAACTACAGATGTAAAGATGTTAAACTAATAACACAACATGGATGGTGAGAGAAGAAACAACACATAAAACATCCCACCAGCCAAGTTTTTCTTTCTTTTTCTTCTGATAACGGAAGTCGCAGCTTTGCTCCCTTGTACCCAAGGGCACCCACACCCGCCTCAAGGCCTAGACTCACGAGACATCAAAGATTTTTGATATTAAGCTCAACGGATGACTCGAACTTGAGACCTCTAAACAAGTATAACCAATAGACCCCAAGCCTACCAACCGTGCTGCCCCTGGGGGCCTCCAGCCAGTTTCTGCTATTATTACACAACACATACAGTACAGACATCTAATATTTCTTCCTCCGATGGGAACCAAGTGAAAGTTACTAGTACCCAATACCCAATAGCAAACTATCTTTCTATTAATCTTCCATTGTATAAATTTATTTAACAATTCTCCAACATTTTGCTATCATCTCTCTTCTGGATCTCATATCCATCTTCAATAATCTCCACGGCCAATTCACTACCAGTACGCTCTATTATTCCATGATCAGCTGATATGCGTTCTTAAAGCTCCTCTTATATAAATTCCACAATGAACACAAAAATAAGCACATTGACATACCATGTACCAGTTGACAATTCCCTAATTTATAACTAAAATCGCGAGAAAAAAGTATCAGATTGGAGATATTAGTTTCAAAACATAAGCAACTGAGATCTCTGGCCATAATACGCAACTAACAATGATTACTAGCGAGGAATGAGTGAAAAAAAAAATTAGCCGCGGCATGAATTTGTTCTATTTATGTAGGGTGTCATAATCAGAGTGGAATCCAGCATTGAAATCGATAACAATATGAATTGAGACCAGGAAGAAAAAGTAAGAATGAGTAGGTACCATCCATGCAAACGCTTGTGTAGATTGATGGTGTACTCTCTCGAAACCACCTCCTCCTTCCTTCCCTTCGTTTTCTCAACCATATCTGCAGTCTGCTTCTTCAATCAAACCTGAAATCAGTTGATAGAAATCATGAATAATAAGAACAATAATACAACAAATTTCCAGGGATTGACCTCGGGAACGAAAACAAAATATAAGCAAGACGAACAAGGACGGTAGATCGAGAGATACTTGCTAGGGTTTGAGGCGATGCAGCAGTCGATGCAGCAACAAGCAGCAAAACCCTAGCTTTGGCGAGAATTTATACTCTTTTTTATCCATTGGGCTTTATATGCGGTCTGGGCGGCAGAGTGGAAATGTAAGCCCAAACTCCACGAATAAAATTTGAAAATTATTATTTCCCACTTAATTCATAATAGAAAAACAAATTGTAATGACTTGATTAAAATATCTCTCTCCCCATATATAATATGGGTTTATAATTTTTTTTATGCAAAATTTTATGGTAATTTTTTTATAATATGAATTTATTAATATATTATTTTAAATATATTGCAAATATTCCATTATTTTGTTATGTAAATTTGGTTTTATTGTTTTTTATTTTGAAAAACCTGTTTAAAACGTAAGCCACTGTTAATTGTTAATGATATTCGCTAGGTAATGTATGTATTTAAAAAAACATTTATTTTGTAGCAATATTTTATGTATTTCAAAAAATATCACCAGCTTTTCAAAAATTTTAAATATAACAAAATATTGAATTTTTATTTTTACAATTTTACCCTTATGATATATATATATATATATATATATATATATATATATATATATCTATCTGATATACATCTAATTTATATATGATGTATATCATACATCAAATCTATATGTGATGTAAATTTGTATATGATACACATCAAAACTATATATAATATACATTCGATGTAACTCTGATATACTTCCGACATATATTCGATGTACCCCTAATATACAGTATCAGATGTACCATGATTTACATTATCATATATACCATTCATATACATCAAATGTACGTATTATACATATAATATATATATTATATATATATATATATATGATGTACTTTTAATTTATGATATACTAAATATATTTCCAACTGATAAATTAAATATAAGGTATATCAAATATTTAATTTTTAGTTGTATATCAGCTGTTTAAATTATAGCTTATCATTTCAATATCAAATGTTTAATTTTTAGTGGTATATCAGATGTTTAAATTATAGTTTATCATTTCAATCTGTTGATTAACATACTAATATTATCACTACTATTTATTCAATATTAATATTAATTAGATTCTAAATATAAGGGATATCAACTGTTTAAATTTATAAAGTATATCAAAATTTTAACTTGTCTTTTTAGACATGCATGGTCCACGTAAAAAATAAAAAATAAAAAATCTTGCACCATTGTTTTCATCTGAAAAAAAATATTGGATATAATAGTATGATATCAACACAAATATATCATAATTATATTAGTAGATATAATGGTTATATCAGATGTATATAAATGGTAAATTAGAAGCATATTAAGTATATATCAGAGTTATATTAGTGGTAAATCATATAAACATATAAGAAGTCATATCAGTAGATCCCATAGTAATATCAGTGGTATATCAATGGTAAATTAGAGACATATCAAATATATATCACATATATATATATGTGTTGTATAAGCGTGGTAAATTAATGATTATCATACGTATATCAGTTGTGAGACATGTTAGAAGTTGAGTAGATATTATGGTTATACCAAAAGTAAATTAATTGTATATATATTAAATGGTGAATTTGTAGTTTTACCATTGGACCTCCATTTTTTCTAATGTTATATTTGAAAAAACGGAATCTGGTTACTATTTTACTTGTTTTACTAAAATTATTTCTCATATTTACAAGTTTGATATTTTAATATCACAATTATTTGTATTATGGAACACTTTTTTTTATATTTTAAATTAAACAAATAAATATATAGGTGGTGTTATCATGTTTTAGTGTATTTTAAATATCAATACAAATTTGTTTTTCAGATCATTATTATCTACTTAAAAATAAGATTATTATTTTTTATAGCGACTTATTATATATATATTTCCACATATATGAAATTGTTTAAAATTTATTTTACGTGGATAAATTACTACGTTTATGAAATAAATATTAAAACAAGTTAAATAAACTGTAATTTTGAAACAGCCATGGAGGGAGTTAAAATTAGTAAAGCCTACTTAATATAATAAAATCATAAATTTGCAATTCTATGGTAAAAATATAGTTTTTTTTGTACTACATATGGGGTGGACATCTATTTGGTTGGAGATATATCTCAAAAATTTTATTGGGACTATTTTTCTTAAAATATTTAATATTTTAACTCTGACTTTCACTTAATATTTATTATTCCTTTTTTATTTCCAATATTTGTACACTTTATGGCTTTTGTAATTAATTTTAATTATTATTGCAATTTTTGGGTATTTCTTAAATGCTTATCATTTTGCAGTTGTTGTTAATATAAAACATCTTTTACGTATTGGACTTAACGGGCCGCAAAAGTCACCAATTTGGGCTTTTATTTGGAAAAAGCCCATAACTTTTTGAAGCGTAAAAAATCCGCAATCGGGTTCGCGTATTTCGCAAGCTAACCTGTTGGCTATAAATATGTTACCGCCCATTTCGTCGTCTTCACCATTTTCCGAGCTTTGCTGTGAGAGTTCGTACATTCGTGGCTGCGTTCTTTCCTCCGTTAAGTGTTCCTTTATCCACTTTCTCAGCTCTCTATTTTCTAGGGTTTTCTATCGTACCTAATGCAATTTCCTATTCTTTTATTTTTCTTCCCATCAATTGTACGTCGACTCAGAATGGAAGATTTCAAGTTTCGTATTAGGGGAGATGAGATCAAATGGCTAAGCCTTGAGCGAAAAGAAAGAAAATCCTCACTGTAAAACCCTAACCCTAACCCTAATCCTAACCCTAACTTGATATTATTCTGAATGTCATTTCGGAAAAATATTCTGAACTGAGAAACAGAGGCTCTTTTCGTCGCAGTGAAGAGAGACGAGAGTGGCTGTGGTCTTCGTTGAAGGAGAATCGAAGTGTGTGTGAGCCGGAGGGCCACGACGTAGCGGTAAAAATTCTACGAATCAGATAATGGAGGAAAACTTGAGTGGCCACAACGGTGCAATATTTTGACAAGTATGTTTTATCAAATTAATATAATGCTGGATTCTTTTTGTTAACACTAATATATCTATATCGTTGGCAATTTGAATTTGTGGCCGCACTTACAAGAATTGAAGTGTTCGACGGATCGATTTCCTAGGGTACGCTAGGTTACCATCACAAAATGGGAAGGGCGTCGGCAAATTGAAGCTTACTACACTGGTTTAAATCATCTCTGGAAGTTCATTGAAAAAGGAAAAAAGAAAAAATGAAAAAAAGAAAAATAATCATCTGTGATCAAGGGTGGACCCATTTGCAGAGAATGGAAGAAATTATCAATTTCAAATGGAGTGTACAATAGTCTCTCTCATTCTCGTAACCATTTTCGACTCATCTGCACAATCAAATGGAGCAAGAGGGCAAGAGAGGTTTACCATAATGTAAGGTATCTCAATTTCAGAATCATTGGGTGGGTAAAGGTCGGAACCGTTGTTTTTATGGAAGTTAATTATTGTTGAGCGTATTCGAGGTAATTACAAGTTGTGTTGTTATGGTGGTTTTTAGTCTGTCGATTATGCTTCAACTCTATTTCAAATAAAATGTGTTTTAACATGTGGTCTCAAATATCAATTTTCTGGTTAATCTAAAATTAGAATAATCTGAACATCATGAGGAAACTACTGTTCTAATTTTGCTATAATTTTGTGTTATGTTTGAATACGACTGTTATGGGATTTAGAAGACATAGAAGAGGGAACAGAACTAGGACTTGCTCCCAGATGCTGTGAGGAAAGAGAGGATGAAGATTCCTTCTCAAAGAGCAAGCACTTCTCATGGGGTAAGCTTTATTTTGTAGGAAGAGCTATGAACTTGTAGAGTCATGATTTAGTTCTCAACAGTGAGATTGCAGATGTCGCTATGATCAATTTCAAGTTAGTATGTAGCTTGAGAAGTGAGAACTTATGTATGTTAAATATATATACTAGCCAATTCTAAGTTTTATTTTTCAATTTGAAGTTATTCAAGCTTAAAATCACTAAAAAAAAGTTTCTCCTTATTTTAGTTGGACCGCTTTACATCCAATTATCCCTTCCTTGAATTGTCGCTTCTAGAGGGTCGTCTCTAACCTTTCTTAAATTGTGTGATGTTAAATGAATTTCTATTGTTCATAGCTGATTCTTAATTCTCTGTTTACAACTTAGGCCATCATGCTCGATAATACAAGATTGAGGATTCTCAACGAGATTATCTCCTCATACTTGTCATCAAGTGTCATTCGCATCCTAATTATTATTTGTGAATACTGTAACTATTTGATGTATATCGAGTTTATTCAGTTGAACTATCTTCCCTGTGAAGATGATTTGATTTTGAACATGCCAATTTTTATTTTTATTTTTTGAAATCTTATAATGCGGTTCCCTTTGTTCCTTTGCGGTTTACCAGCAATAATGGTAATGTCATGAAAGTGCTTACTTTGCTGCCAATACTTTTGGTGCATATACACAAATTTTAATTTATTTTTTAATTAGAACTCTTTATTATAATTTTCAAATATATTGAAACAGCCAAGTAATTAGAACTTTTTTTTTTTTTTTTTTGCATGAAGCTATCTTAATTCCGTTATCAATCATCCGTCACTGCTCTATTCTACTATGACGTGCTTGGGTTGTTGTCCCTTGTGCTCTTATTATGCTACTTTTTTTTTGTGTTGCATGTCAAACAAGTGAACAGATCATCCAGATGAATTGATACTATGTTTTTATGATGACGGTCCTTTCAAAATCACTTATAACTTTTGACTTGTTTGCAATGAATATGTTTGCGACAAGGTATATTTGTTTATTATTTATCTATTATTATTTTTATTTGTCTGCAAGAGAATAGTATTGAAATTTTAATTTCCATTACTGCAGGCATCAGTTCTTCTATACGGTGGTCCAACCAATTGGAACTAGTTCTGATGTTTCTATATTTGCCATGATGGAAAGAGGACCTGCAGGTATTCTTCCTTCATCCTCCTTTGTTTAGTTACTGGTATTAATTTTTCTTTATTTTTATTTTTGAGAAAAGTATTTCTTAATTATTTCTGGAACATGAGAACCTTGCTCTTGTGGATAAAGTAGTTTGTATAGACTGTGACGGGAAGTTTTGATATAATTGCAGTATAAATTGGATGTTTTCTTAAGATTGGAGCATGATATTGATTGTGTATGGTTTGGTAATTACTTACACACATGGGCCCTTCAGTTTTATTCTCAGGATAGCTCTCTCATGTTACAGCTAGCTGGTTTCAAGTTTATTGATCTTACTTTTCCTAATTTTTTTGTATTTATTTAGAAGTAATGCTGTGGTTTCTTATACTCTTTTTTTTTATTTCTTTTTTTTTTCTACAAAGAATAATAGAATGGAAACTGTTTTTTTTTCTTTCATCTTTTTTAATTGAAAAATTAAACAAATATGTTTGTAACCATTTCTTGTTTCTTGTTTTTTTTACCATTTTTAATTACAAAAAGTTTTATATAAAAATTAGTTTTTAATTAAATATTTAAAATTTTTGTTAGAAATATATATTATGTATTCTTTAAGTCAAGAAGGTTTTTTTTTTAAAAAAAAAAAATTGGGAAGAGGAACCAGGAACAAAATAATTGATGTTTTTGTTCCCATAATTTCTTCACAATTGTATTTTAAAAATGAGTAAGGAGAAACATAATAGTTATCAAATGAATTCTTAATTTTTTGTTTTATCCTTTCATATATTGGGATTGATTTTAAAGCTTTATAACTATTTGGTTTAATGATGATGGTTTAACTTTTTCTGTTAAGTTTTTATTTGCTAATACTTAATTAAGACTTTGATTAACAATGATTCTTCCAGATTTGAAATCTCCAACTTACATATGTATGGTTTGAATTATGCACCATCCGTCCATTGCAAAAGGTGTCCCCTTAATATATGTGTTGGAGGTCCTTGTTTTTAATATTTTAACTCCAATTGTTCATCTAATATCTATTTATTGGATTTTTCATATTTTTATACTTACAAGTCTTCTTTTTNTTTAGTCAATGTTACGCAGTTTTTTGGGCATTTTACAAATATGTATAGTTTTGCCTTTTGTGTTTTAACTGTTAGTAAATATTTGTTTTATATTTTGAACGAATATGTGAATCATAATTTAATAAGTTTTGTTAACATAATCATTTTTAATAATGAACTTATGGAATCATATGTGAAATATATATTCTTTTCATTGAAAGTTGTTTATTAATAAACTTGTTGTTATACCTTCCGAAAACAATTTTCATTGAACTTTTAGTGATGTATGACCATGCCATTTACGTATCACATCTATGGATATGAATCGAGGGATAAACATTGGTGAGACTTCTTCTCTCAATTTCATCTAAAAGGATTTTAGTAACTAATTAAACCCCCTTGTAACTTTGTTTAAAATCTTATGTATCTCTTACTTAATTTGGTTCTTCTTTAATGTTCTCTTTGATCTGTGGTAAAGTAATTTTAGTACATCTTCTGAGAAATGATTCAGGTACATGCTATGGAATTTGTAAGGTCGAGGAAGTTCGGGGCCAAACACAAAGCGTTTGTAACTTTGAATAATCTGAGACTTAGCTCTCTCAAATCTCGGACGAGAGCGTAGATCGGATGTGGATGACTGAAGAATGGAGTTTGCCGGGTGGAGAGCCAGGTCCGATTCCATTGTTTCAATGGTAAAAGGAAGGAAATTTGAGTAATGGTAAAATATATCTAATTTTTATGATTCAAGGATTCATTTCTACGATATAAAAATTCATATTTAATGTTCAGGACTCTAATGTTTCACTGTTTCACTTATAAGAGTTCGAATGTTTAATTTTTACTATTGAAAGGGGTGCAATAGACCAATTTATCCACCTTTAATTAATGTTAAAGCAGTTTTTTTAATTACTTTATAGATATGTATACTTTTGATTTTTATCTTTTAAATGTTAGTAAATATTTATTTATTATTTATTATTTAGAATGAATATATGAATTATATTTTAACAATTTCTTTTAACATAAATCATAATTTAATCATAAACCTGTGAATCATGCGAAATACCTATTTTAGTCGAAAATTGTTTATTAACGAACTTGCCATTTGAAAACTACTTTCCGTTACATCCCTCCCCCAACAAGATGGTAAAAAAGGGAATGTTTGGTTCCAGTTTTCAAAAGGGAATGTTTCATTGTTTTATAAATTCGGGTTTGCTGTAGTAAATACTATTTATTCTATTTACTCCTCCGGTGGTTGCAGTAATTTATTCCTACTTTCAAGTTACTATATTATATATTTTATCTTTATTCTCTGTTCTAAGATGTATTATTTATTAATTAAATATATTAAATAAATGAAGAAATTAATTAATTATAAATAAACAAATCAATTTTATTAAAATTACATGTAATAAATAATTAATTTGATAATTTTTCTATAGTTTTTTTTTTCTAAATGATCCAAGAAAAATCTAATTTTTTTTGTTATTGGTATCTATTTTCATCTATTTTTTATTTTATATAGTTGTTCATTTTGTTTCTATCATTTTTATTTTACTTTTTTTTATCACAAAAGATGTTATAATATTGTATAATTATTTATTCTAATTTTATATCTTCTTTTTCATCGATGAAGTTAATAGTTTTTAAACAAACATTATTTAAAATAATTAAATAATCAAATTTACTTAAAATAATAAATTATAATATTATTTTAAATTTTATTTAGGAGTAACGTGGATGATAATTAAGTAATCTATCTTTTAAAAAATAATTTAGTAATCAAATTTACTTAAAAGATTGTAAGTAGCGAAAAATTAAATAAATCGTTGATCAACATGGAGTGGGGAAGTATTGGTCTTAATGGGCCGAGAACTCACCAAGTATAGCCCATGATGTTTGAAGCGTAAAAGATCAGCAACCGGGGTCAGCGTGTTTAGCAAGCAGTCTGTTTTCTATAAGTTGGTTACCACGCACATCACTGGCCTATTCTTCACTGTCGTTCTTCTTGGCGGAGACTTCCCTCCGGTTAGGTTTCTTTATCGTCTTTCTCGGCTCTCTGTTCTATAGTTGCTGCATTTTCATTCACTATCGGAATTCAATATCAAGTTTTGCTGCATTTTCATTCATTATCGTCTTTCTCAGCTCTTTATTCAAAGGCTGTTTCGAATCAAACGATCGTTACTGAAAGTTGTCGATACTGTGGGTACAGATTGGAGTGGAAACGAGAACCCTAAGTTTAAACCCTAACTTGAATTCTCGACTTATCTTTAATTTTTTTTTCCTTTCGCCGGCTGCTCTAATTTTCGCCTATTTTCTATTTTTGAAATGAATTTGGTCGCTTGTTTTGCAAACAATTCTCAGTTTCCTACACGATTCTTGCCCGCTGGCGTATATACTTATTGATGGAATCTCCTGACCAAGTCGGTTTAATTTCCCAGAATCATTGCATGAGCATTTCTACTTCCGGATCTTCAACCCAAGCCCGCGGCCGTGCAGAAGTGGCCACTCTAATGTCTTGATCAGTGAGTCTTTTGCGACCCTGGCATTTCGGTGCACTGTAGTAGGGACGTTGAAAAAAACTGGACAAATATAATTTATTGACCTGCAAACAAGTTAAAAATTTTCAAAGGATTTAATTGGTTTGTAGGAATTAAATAGTTGAGGAGTTAAGAAGGATGGTAATAACTTAGTTATATATGAATTAAAAATTTTCGTTTAAATTTTATCTTGTTTTATATTTCCATATGTTATGTTTGAGCTTCAAGTTGTTATCGATATCTGTGTTGATCATGATCGGTAAATTATTTTTTGTTTGAACTTTTTATTTTCTATTGCATAGACTTCTGGTGTATTTTCTAATGCATAGACTTATGTGATCCGAATAAGTAATGCACAAAGTTCCTTTTAGGAAATTTTGATGCGTTTGTTATTTTTTAAAGTTATGTTTGCTGACTAACGTATTCTTCTTCTTCTTTGTTTGTTTGAGTATAACTCTTGAGAAAACACAAGGACATACAAGCATCAAGTGACGCGCCGTTTCTTTTGGGTCAAGTTTTTTAGCTCACCTTTATTTCAGTACTCTTAATAAAACAAAGGGGTGCACTAAAATGTTCACCCAGAATGTTCCTGTTGGACAATTACATAAGCATTAATAATTCCTACTACTTGCAAATCCTCCTTATCGATCAGCCATGTTGCTTTTGTAACTAAAATAGCGGCTGAAACTACACTATAAAACAGTTGGGGAGAAATTAAAGAATGGTCAACGGGAGTTTCTTCTGAATCCTTCATCATGAAGTACCAAATGAATGATAGGCGATTCATTTGACCATTTTCTTAAATATTTTATTCATCGTTGACTTGAGATAACGTTTAATTTATTTTCATGTTCTAAGAGTTGATAGCTGTTGTGGGTACATTATGACTCTTGGTTATACTGACTTGGAAGTCAAGTTCAAATCTTCTGGTGAGATTAATATCAAAAGCTCTTGATGTATTTCGGGTCTGAGCCTTGGGACGAGATCGAGTGTTCTTGAGCATAGGAGAGCAAATTAAAGTTCTAACTCCCGGTTCTCAAAAAAGAAAAACAAAGAAAAGACGTACCAGTGAATGTTTGGCCTTCCTAATTTCGGTTTGAGTTGTAATTCTTTGAAAATTTTAATTGTTATGTATCTCCATTGGTTTTTCTTTTATTAGACGAAGTACCGTTTTCCCTTTTCCCTCCACTATAGATCAGTACAACAAAGAACCTTATTTACACATTCCATTTGCAGTTCTTTAGAATCATATCCGGAAGCAGTGCACCACATATACTGAATGATGAAGACAGACAAATCTCTAAGGTCCTCATTTTCCCTCACTTGCTACCAACTTTATTTTCAGGAATATTGTAACTTGAAATTTAATCAATTTTTGTGGAAGTTGGACATTTTTGCTTTCATGGTGGAATTTTGTTTATCTTTTAGTTGATCATGACTTGACCTGGCTTTGTAGTTACACCAATGGTTGACAAACCAATGATTCCTTTTTCAGTTCTAAAGACCAATTGTTAGTTTTGATTTTTGCTTACATGTTGAGATCTGTATGTGTTATTGTGAATTCGGCTGACAGCCACCCTTACTGCTCTTTAATCTTCTGATTCCTTCTTAATGTTTGCTTTCTGATAGCCACGGTTTCCTACAGCCTTAATCTTTTTGTAGACTTTAAGCTGTATGATTTTTTATTTGTTAAGATAATAACTTTTTGAATTTGTGAAATCTCTTGTTGGAAGGATGAGTTATCGTTTCATTTCCACAGAATGGAGTAGTAAATCGAAGGTCAAGTATAACTATGTAATTTTTGTATCACATAAGCAGATATGAATCAAGGGATGTGCATTGCTGAGTTTAAAAAGTAAATAAATGATCATCTTTGATCAGGGGCGGAATCATTTGCTGAGCATGGAAGAAATTCCTGCCTTCGACGTCGAAGCCTAACCACTACGGTTTTTGCATATTCATTTTGGACTCATCATTAGTACAATCAAATGAAAGGTATCTCAATTTCTCAAAAATAATCATTTTTTAAAAATTATGTCTTGTTAATGTTCTGGTTTCCTGTTTTAATTATTCTTAAGAAATTTAAGCATTTTGCAACTATATTTATTGTTTTTCATTTTTTGAGATCATGTTCAAAATTGTATAGAAATTTCAGAAACAACTAAAACAAGTTTTTTCTTTTTTCTTTTTATTTTTTATTTGTTCCAAGACATAAATAAAAAGATTGTTTGATCATATTTTAATATATGAATTTATTAATGTTGGGGCTATATCATTCATTTTTCTTTATTTTATAGAAATTTTGGAAACAATCCAAATAAATTTCTTTTTTGTTCTCATTTTTCATTTGTTCTAAAACATTAGTAAAAAGATTGGTTGATCATATTTTAATTCATAGATAATGGAGTCATGTAATTTGTTTTTCTTTATTAAAAAAAACAGAAACAACAAACAACAACAACGAGTTCTACATAAACTTTATTTTAAAGATTATTTTTAATTCATTTATTTGATATTTATCATTATAACTGCACATGTAAATATAAAATATGATGTATGTATTTAGTTAATTTTTTTATTAAAGAAACATTTTAACTTATAAATTTTATTTAATATTAATAATTTATTATTGGCTTATTAATATGGTTACGCTATTGGTCTTTTGTTATTTATTTATTTTTTTTAACAATGTAGCKTTTTGGTATTTTCTAAGTGCGTATAACTTTGATTTTCTTTAACGTTTGCAAATACTTATTATAAATGTAGAATCACTTTATGAATTACATTTTAATTCTCAACTTATTGATTCATGTGAAGAATTTCAGTATACCGGAAAATTTTTTATTCCTCCCGTGGTATGGAGAATTTTCATAGTCTTCTCATTTAATGTATGCTATATATAAAGTGTCTATTATTATTCAAATAAAAAAATAATATACTTTGTAAATGGGTCCACATATTTAAAAATAAAATAATCTACAGATTTCTACCTTTCTCACCGTTGTAACTGAAAATTCTCTCTCATTAATCACATGTGACTATTTAACTTTCTTATTTATTTTTATTTAAAATTTATTCAAATATCTTACTTATATCTTCCTCCATTTTCTTGATAGAAAAAAAAAACAAATCGTCCATTTTCATTTGTGTTTCTTCAAATCAATTTTTTTTTCTTTTAAATCTTTTATTAACTTTTAATTAAATAACTAGTCTTACATACTAATAAGTTATACACAAACTTTTAACTATTTTAATCCTGCTAACTATGAATTAAAAAAACATCTTCAAATTGATGAATTAGATATTCATCAAACAAATTTTTAAAAAACAAGATAAATGTCTTAAACCTTCCTTATTCATAGTAATAAAGCAGCAAGATCAATCCTTCGTTTGCTCTCTAAAATCTAAAAATTTGATTTTACTTTACAGAAGTTTTTATGAAGTAAAATCAAAATTTCAGATTTTGATTTATGCTAAGTTTATTAAAAAAAAATAATGATGAATTTTATTATCTGACATAAAAATGTAACTATGGAATATAGAAGTTTTGAAATGTAAACAAAATTAAAGTAAAAGACTTTAAATTTTAAAAATTAGAATACAATATTTTAAACATTAATTAATAAACAAAATAAATAAAAAGGTAAAAAAGTTGCTATTTAACCAAATTTTAAATTTACACAACCTCGTCTTTTAGTTAATTTTTAAAGTAATTTGGTTAATTTTTAAAGTAATTTGTTTAGTTAAGTAAGACAACATTTTTGCAACTAAGTTCTAACAAGATAAATGGTCGTATTTAACCATTAATTAGATAAAAACGTACTATTAAAAAAAAAGAGAAGCAAACCATGGTAGATAATTTTTACTTTCAAATAAGTGGCAACTTTTTCTTTTAAACATGTGATCTAAATTTTAAAATATATTTTTTTTGTATAATAATAGGAAAAAAATTAAATGAGAAGGGAAAAAGAAGAATGAAATAACTAAATAAGTAAGTGAATTAAAAAAATAACAATTAATAAAGAAAAAAAATAGTTAAATCACATTTAGTAAATAGCCAGAGATAGCATTTATCATTAAAAAGAAGATAGAATATAGCTGGTAATTAATTAGATAGAGAATTTACTGGAGGTAGAAATATGTGGATTGTTTTATTTTTAAATATGTAGACCCCACTTATAAAAATATGATATTTTTCTAGTTGTATAATAATAGACATTTTACACTCAGTAGTGTGGAAATTTTCCAGAGTATATGAGTTTAATAGTAATTGGCATGTGTTATTTTAGACATTTTTTTTAGTACAACATGTGAGGTTGAGAATCGAACTTGCAACTGAATTAGGTTAATTTTGGCAGTTATATTTTGGACAAAATAAGACAATTTAAAAAATATTTAATATAACCTTGCTTTAATTTGATAGTGGGCTATTTAGGATTAGTATTGGGCTTATTGGGCTGCAAAGGCCACCAGTTAGGGCTTTAGTTTTAGAAGCCCATTTAAAGCTTAAAAGATCCGCAACCAAGGTCGCGTATTCAACAAGCAATCCGTTTCCTTTAAATTCATTACCGCCCGTTATCATCCTCTCCACTACCATTCTTCTGCTCTGCCGTGAAAGTTTCCTTGCAGTCTGGTTGTGTACTTCTCTCCGACGAGGGTTGCCTTTATCGTCTTCCTCAGGTTTAATTTCTAGTGTTTTCTTTTTGCTTAATCACAGTGTTGTTTCTTTTCGGATTGGAATGTGGCAGCTTAAAGTTTAAAACTGCTGCGCTGGCGTTTTTTCTTCTCGCGAGGAAGTAGCCTGATTGTTGCGACAGATTTGAGAGCGTAAGTCAAGAACCAGATCAAACGCTGTCGATATTTGTAACATTTTTCAAACGTAACTGATCCTTAAGTTTTTCTGTTCTTGATTGATCATTATTTCGCCTATTCGTGTTTAAATAGGTACATTTCAGAGAGGAAAAGGGACTAACTTGAAACCCTAACTTAAAATCGACTTATCTTTTATTTCGTTCTTTTGTCGGCTGCTCTATTCTAATTGCGGTCGCTTACTTTTTTTTTAATTTCTGAAAAGGTTGGGGTGGCTCATTTTGCAAGCAACTCAGTTATCTTCAAATTCATTCTCCCGCTCGCCCATTTCTTTATTGACTCGATCTCCTGTGTCCTGACCAAGTCAGTTTGCTTCTATTGCGGTGGCTCTGAAACCAGGACGGCTGCAAAACGCCAGAAAAGCGTGAATCTCGGTGGTGGGTAATGTTTCGAACTGCAATTCCCAACGAACTTCCGCCAGACGTTGCAGGAACTTACCGGCCTGAGATTTGGTTACTCGCAGGTCCAGATGGTGCTCATACAAAATGAAGTTCACTAATGTTAAGCGTATTCGAGGTAGGGATGAATTGTATGGTTGTGTGGTTTTTAAGTCGGTCAATTATGCTTGCACTCTGTTTTTTTGTTTTGTTTTTGATAAGAAATCGAACTCTGTTTATAAAATGTGTTTTAACATGAGGTCTCAAATATCAAATTTTCTGGTGGTGTCATTGAGATTAAAACTTATTAAGTTGAATTAACGCAGTCCTACTTGATCTTGTATTTCAATTTTCTGGTCAATATAAAATTAGAATAATCTGAATATGCTTTGATTAGTTTTTGTTCTTGAAATTTTTGGCAGCGTGATCTGGCTTTTTTGATTAGTCAAAATGTGATACTTGATAACTTTATGTGTGAAACTTGCTGAACATCATCGGGACACTAGTATTCTAACAAGGTGCTCTTCAAACTAGGACTGACTTTCCTTAGAGGATGAAGATTCTTTCTCAAAGAGCAATCACTTTTAATGGGGTAAGCTTTATTTTGTGGCATTGGTAAATACAAGCAACAACTCAACTTTTATACTTTTTAAGAAGAGCTATGAACTTGAAGAGTCAAGGTTTCCTTATGTCCTGATTGGTCTTTTTTACCATGTGTGAGGACATATTTTAATTAATAGGTAATAAAGAGTTTCAAAACTCTCATACCTTGGGTTAAAGAGGGACAACAACAGATTTAGTCATTTTTGTAGGGAAAATAGTTCTAGTAGTTTGTTTTTTAATATATAGAAGATGAAGTTTGTATTTGATGGTTAAGGTTATGATCAATACAAGTTAGTACGTAGTTTCATAAGTGAGAAATTATGCATCCTAAATCTATATAATAGCCACATCTAAGTTTGATTTTTTAATTTCAAATTATTCAAGCTTATAAACGCACAAATAGTTTCTCCTCATTGCAGGTGGGCCGCTGTACGCCCAATTATCCCTTTCTTGAATTCTTGCACCTTCCTTGATTAAATTGTGTGATGTAAAATGAATTTCTAATGTTCATTTATTGAAGTCAGTTTTTTTTTTGATTATTGAGTTTCTGTTTAAGACTTAGGCCATCATGTTCGATACTACAAGATTGAGGATTTTCAATTGTGCATGGTCAATTTATCTGCTAGATTACGCCCTCATAATACTGTAACTTTTTTATGTATATCTAGTTTATTAATTTGAACTTTTTTTGCCCATTATGATTATTTGATGATGAACATGTCGATTTTTGTTCGAAATTTTATAAAGTGGCTGCAATTACTTTTTAAGCATACACACAAATTTTAATTTTCAGTTTATTGAAACAGATTATTTGTTTTTTCCGTTATTTGCATGAAGCTATCCTAATTCCATTATGAATCATCACTCTATCAAACAACAAAACTGATTATGTTTTGTTTTTCTTAATAAGAATCCCAGACAGTGTGTTTACGATGTTTTATGAAAACGGTCCTTTAAAATTTGTTAATAACTTGGGAATATGGTTGGGAGGGACAAGGTATATTTGTTTATTATTTTATCTATTCTTTTTTCTTATTATTATATATATGGTCTTATAATGTTCATTTCCCTAACCGCAGGCATCAATTCTTCTATATGATGGTCCTACCTATTGGAACTAGTTATGATAGACCTGATATTTGTCAGTATAGCAGGGTGAGATTTGAACCTACAACATTTTTTTGTCGGAAAGATTTGTTTAACTAGTTGATTTATTCTTAACTATATATAATTATTTTTAGTACAATATGTGAGCCTCTTGATTGGAGGCTAATATCTTTTTGTTGTTGCTGCTTTCCAATGTTTGGAATTGAATTTAATGTGAAGCTTTTATAAAAACTTGACTTGATATATGTCATTTAAAACGCATGCGTTTGAATTTTAGTAACGCTTGCAATTTATCTTTATCTATATGATAGTTTTATAGTAACTTTTTCTTTGGTGGGCCCTTCCATACAAAAATCAAGAAAACGATGGTTACGGAGGGCGTCTTAGATAAGTAATTTAGGGTAAAACAAGCAATTTAGATTTTTCTTTTCGAATTTGCTGATGATTTAGGGAATATAAAGTTTATATCTGATAAATTTGTTTCTTTAAAACTATTTCAAGAGTTTTCAAGTGTACTGCTTATTCATGTTTTATATATTTAGTTGAAAATACTTTTTAAACAATACATTGATGTTATTTTTATAATTTCTTAGTATTTTAACTTTGATTTTTTTTCCACTTAATTACTTATTAATTTTGTAATATGTTTACACTTTCAGTCTTTTGTTTTTTCTATAATTAAAATACTATTTTTTTGTATTTTTTAAATACGTACAACTTAATTTTTTTTTTCCAAATTGTAGAAAAAAATATTTATTTTAAATTTATGAACCAATATAATATATGAATTATATATTGAGTAGTGCGAAATACACTTTTTACTCATTATTTATTTATAATAATAATAAATAAAAAAAACTCTCTCCCGTTGTTTCTCGAATAACTCACAACACATAAAGAAAAGAGAGATGAATTTTCATATCTCTATATCTTTAATTTCTTAGTGGGCCGAAAAGGAATTGTACTGGAACTAAGGAGCCCAAAAACACAACTACCGAGTTCGTCTAGTTGGCAAGCAATCGGTTCTCCTATAAACTTCGTTGCTGCCAACTTCATCTTCTTCACTTCAAAACCCTAGCCGTAACCCTAACCCTAACCTTACTTCATCCGCAACCACACCATCAATTTGATAGTGTGGTTGCGGATGGCGCCATTGGAATGAAAGACTGAGAAGAAACTCAAATACACAGCGGTGCAAGTCTAGAGTGGTGCTGGGAGATAAGAATGTCTAGAGTGGCGCCATCGGCATGGTCTTAGCTGTATCGAATCGAAGGTAAGAATGTCGAGGGTTGCCACAGCGCTGGTTTGATTATTCCATTTCAAGACAGTCTCTCCCGCTTGCAGGTTGACCGCTTTACACCCAATTATCTCTTCCTTTAATTCTTGCTTTTAAAGGACAAGCACTAACCTCCTTAAATTGGTTGATGTGACATAAATTTCTACCGTTCATATATTGAAGTCAGTTTCTCTCTGAGACTTGGGCCATCATGCTCGACTCTACAAGACTGAGTATTCTCAATAGTGCATGTTCAGTTTATCTGCTAGATTATATGTTCTCATACTTTTTAAGTATTATTTGTGAATATTGTAACTATTTGGTGTATATCTAGTTTATCCTAACCCCATTATCAATCATTGCTCTGTTCTGGGCCCTGCTTGGGGTTGTTGTCCCTTGTGCTCAGATTTCTACATTTTCTTTGATTTGGTCAAACAACAAAACATATCATGTTCTTATATGGTTAACAAGAGTCCCAAAACGCAATCTCTTTCCCCGTCATCTTCATATTTCCTGAACAAGAGTCCCATAATCCAGCGGTGAATTGACTATGTTTTATGCATGTGGTCCTTTAAAAATCACTAATAACTAACTTGTCGGTTGTTTGCAATGAATATGGTTGGGACAAGGTATATTTGTTTATTATTTTATCTATTCCCTTTTTTTTAATATGGTTTTGTTCTCAATTTGATTGATTTGGAATTTTTTTGTCTGCAAGCGAAGTGTTTTTAAAATTTTAATTTCTCTTATTGCAGGCATCAATTCTTCTATATGATGATGGTCCAACCAATTTGGAAATGATCTGATAGACATGATACTTCGCATGATGAAAAAGAGTTTGCAGGTATTTTTCATTCATCCCTGTTTGTTGAGTTACTGGTGTTACTTTTTTTTATTTTCGAGTAAAGTATTTCTTAATTGTTCATCATCATTGATTCCACATTTGGGGTAGCTTCGGGTGAAAGGGAACTTCTGACTTTTTTTTTCTTTGGACGAAAATCTGTAAAGGGATTTGTTTTTTAATAAATATAATGACTATAATAATTTGTATGTCTTTCTAAGAATGGTGTATTATTGTGTATGTAGTGGTAATTGCTCACGAGACATCGGCCGTTCAGTCTTTTCAAGCTAGCTCTCTCATGTTATGTTGGGATTGAATTTGAAGCTTCTATAAATATTTGTTTTGATGATGATTGGTTACCATTTTTTCTTTTTTTTTTTTGTTATTCAATAGAAATCTGTAAGTTTTGATGTGATTTAGAATGTATGCACGTTTGAATTTTATTAATGGTTGCAATTTAACCTTCTAACTAAATTTTCTAATGTTTTTCATTAATTAATTATTTGATAATTCTCATGTCTTAAAAATTCTAATTCAGTTATAGGTAGTGTTGGTGATAGATGAGTGGAAGGCTTCGCTCCACTTGGCCTTGGCAAATGGCTGATAGTAGGCTCTTTGTTCTCAAATCCAAATATTTAAGACGATATGCTCAGTGGCAGCTTAGCATCGGTGGATCGGGCGACTGAGAACAATTCTGGAGTAGCTTGTAAAACTAGCTGCCGACTGAGAACAATTCTGGAGTAGCTTGTAAAACTAGCTGCCGACTGAGAACAATTCTGGAGTAGCTTGTAAAACTAGCTGTTGGAGAACTGTGTCGATGTAGTGATTGACTATGAGATTACAGCTCAGAAACCAATCGACAAGCATTGATCAGATTTGCGAAGTTGTGACTTCCACCCACCATAGTTAATTAATTTTGTACCTAATTAACTTCAATCCGTAATTTGTCAAAAGGTAATTATGGATTGTAGTTAATTAGGTAAAAAGTTAATTAACTATGGTTGGTGGGGTTTGTCCATCTTGTGAGAACAACTTGGCAAATCTGATCAATGCTTGTTTATTGGTTTTTGGAATGTAATCGTCATCTGCCTCCACCCACACGCTTCTCCAATAGTCTCTCTTGCCCCTTTTCCACACTCTCCACATTCAATAATACACCTTCGGTGAATCAATGGCATCTTTATTTTCCGTCTTTCAATTATAAAAAGTAAGATGTTCGCACATGCTAACTCATGCTAATTTGATGTGGCCTGATACTTCTTACTTCTTCCATTCTTTATTACTGCAAAATATAAACAAATAACAATATTTTAAAACTAACATAAAATGATGTCACTTGTGCATATTCACATCATGTTGGGCATAATTAATTGTTAAAATATAGTGGTTATTGTTCAATTTGATTCTCTTTGTATGGCAATGTTTTAGGAATTTTAAATGAAAAAACCTAATGGATCAAGGCTGCTGGTGAGCATAAACTTCAAAGACTACATATATTTATTTGTTATTGAACGGTGAAGAAATCATAAATTAAAAAAGCATCTAAATTAGTATATTAATTGAACTTGGAACTATTGGTAAACATTATTAGGAAAATTTGAGAAATTTTGTCAAAGTGATCAATCATATGGAAAAGGAATTACTTTTCATAGCTAATGGTTGTACTTTTATGTGCGTGTGGAAAATAGTGGTGATTGTTCATGTTGAAAAACCCATAATTAAAATGGCTTCAAATAATTGTTTAAAAAAAAAAAGGCTTCAAGAAATGCCAAAATTCTAAAGATATAAAATTGATCCATTACAAGAGCACTGCCTAAGTAGGGAAGACACTTTTCTACGAGGTTGGGACAAGGAATACATTTTTTACCTACTTCACTATCTAATTTCTAAAAATAACATCTATTTAAATTATAGGTAAGAAAAACATTAAATTAAATGTTTTTAAGAATTAGTTATTTAAATTAGTAGATAATATAAATACTAATATTTTATATACAAAAATTATAAATTAAATTTATCTATTATTTTTAATTTCAGGATAGATATTGAACTATGAATTTTATATGTGCAATTTTTTCGATCTCAACTTTTATTCTCCAAATTATAAAAATAAATTTTTTTTATATATAAGAGTTATCTAAATTAGTAAATAAACATGGATTTTAGTAAATTAAGTGAAGTTGCGAATTCAAACTCATGACCTCTTGGTCAGAAATAATGTCTATTATCTCTGATTTAAGTTCAGTGGGATAGTTTTTCATAATTATCTTTTCCAAGCCCCATTACTTTTGTATGTGCCTCTATTTGTAATGTACTTGACAATATTTTCTTGTTTTTTCAACAATTATTATTATTTTTGTTATTTCTAAGAGGACTCAACTAAGAAAAATTATTTGGGTTAATTTAGGAGTTTTCGAAACCATTGAACTAGACCAACTAATTTATTGAGCTCCCTTAATCAAAATTTCCTACAGCTATGTTTCTGATGTTATTTTTCTAACCGGGTATAACTTATTAATAATTTTGTTTGGGGATGAAAATACCCTGGACACGTGGAGGACCCCTATTGGTACTCCAAGATGGCCCATGAGTCATGCCCAGCTTGGATAGCCGAGATGGCTGCCACCAACGCCGACGAAAGCTAAGTATGAGGGCCGAGGTGAACCTGGCCCAGGTCTGACCTACCGGGGAGCTCGGTAGGGGCCGATGTGAGCAACTGTCTGCGGCGTGATTATCGGGCGTAACCGTCGGTCCCGAGATCACCGGGTGTAACCGACGGTCCCGAGATTACCGAATGTAACCGTCGCGAGATTAGCGGGACCACCACCCATAAGTAGAGGACCTCACTCCCCGATCAGGTACGATGATTGCTGGCTTCGAACTAAACTTGGAATCCGACCTATACTGACTTGATCGTCGGAGTGCTCACCTTTTTGTGCAGGTCC